TCTGGACTGCCCAGTAACCTTGTGTATCCCAGAAGACCTAAGCGCAAAGAATAAGAACCGCATAAAATTTCATTTCTCATTCAAAGCTCCTCAGTAAATGTTCTATAAAGTGACAAAAAATATTTAGATTTAGAACGGCGGTGGCAAAAAGAAATTTGAACATCAAAGAAATTCTGCAATTATCTATCATTAACAATTAGAATACAAGCGAGTCCAATAAACAATAGATCGATCCTTGCATCAAATTTGCTTTTGTAGCATATGTCCTTTAAACAATTTCTTTGTACGTTACATGCTTTGAAATGCAAATCCTTGACAAAAAATTAACATTAAGATTATAGACCTGTTTTGAAAATCTTGATGTCAATTTTATTTTAAATGAATGTTTAAAGTTAACTTTCTTAGCCATTAACTCAATACATTCATCAAACTGATTTTTAACATGCATAATTCTACAGAACACACCAAATACAACCTAGATTCAGTGTCATGCATGCTAGAGCAAGCCAAGCAATATAAATCCTCCAAGAGATAAAAGACAACAAGATTAATTGTATCTTTCTCCCTCTGAGAATGTTAAATAACGCGTGGAAAATCAATGTTTCCAATATAAAGAGAAGAAAAATTTGAATACGGAAGAAATTATAAATCAATCTACTGCATATGAATGATTGATTACTCCCATGATGAATAAAAACTTAAAATACGTCCCTGTTTTGCTGATATTCAGTTCGTCTACTGTGTGAGTTAAACAGATGAATTATGCCATTAAAGCTCCGTGTTGGCTGTCGGTTAGACGATTGCACACAAGAGACGTTTGGGATTCATTTTTATAGTGTCATTTAACTTAAGGTCAATATACATGTGCAACGTCAAAACATTATCGTCAAAATTTGAACGCATAAATTGTTAACACTGGGCTTCTTCCTGGAGCAAGAGGACAGATTACAGGAGTGTAGTAACCGCCATTCAGTGTCACTTTTTTTTGTCACCTGCAGAGCAAAACTTAGGGGTCACTTCTGTCTATCGGTCTATCTGTCTGTCACATCCATTTGATAGTTTGCCCATATATTGCTTGGCACTTTCGCTTTTGTAAAATACCATTATCGACAAATGCACAGGTACGTGTTTATCCTATTCTACAGCTACACCTGACCTCAACCTTTGACCTACTTTAATTCACATTTGATTTAACAAACTTTTTTCACAAATCAGCAATATTTCTCAGATTTATATTCAAATTGGTAACCAGAATAATATTTGCAAGATAAAGTGGAAGAATTTTGTAAGATCTTGTCACAATGTTAAAAATGTGTACAAAAATTGTATAGAATTACACAGAAAACAGTAAGTCCCACATCTAAATATAGAGAAAACTTACGATTTCTTTATATTTTACGGATTTATTATTTATGTCATTTCTAATCAAAATCAGTCAATATATATATATATCAATCCAAGCATTAAATTGTGTTTGTATTATGTATCCTTAAGGTTAATATACATGTACAACGTTAAAACATTAACGTCAAAATTTGAACACATAATTGTTAACAAGGGGGTTTCTGAAGCTAGAGGAACAGATCACACGAGTGTACATGTAGTAACCATCATCCATTGTCATTTTTTTGTGTGTCACCTGCAGGGCAGAGCGAAACTTATGGATAACTTTACCCGGCGTCTGTCTATCGATCTGTCCGTTTGTCACATCCTCTATCTTGAGATCTGTAAGAGGTATCAATTTGATATTTTGTCCATAAATTGCTTGGCACTTTAGCTTTTGTAAAATACCATTATCGACCCTTGCAGAAGTGTTTACCCTATTCTATAGCTTTCAATAATCTAATCCCTAATTTGAGATTTTAATCCGTAATGTTTTTGGCAGTACCTTGACTCAACTTTCTAATGTACAAGAATAATTTTTGTAAATGTTACCTTGAATTATAATACCCGTTTTGTCAGCAAATTACATTCTGAATATAAATCAGTGTAATTAAAGTCTATATAAGTGAATCCCTATCATTGCTAAAGTATCAATACGACATGGGAAGAATTAAAAATCGGAGCATGACCCATAAGCGTAATTTCAGAAGGCCAGTCCGTAATCCGCATTTTGCATAAATATTCGAGATAAATACGGAATTTCCATAGTAGAAATCAGTTCTGTCCTTTAATTTCACCTTTGACCTACTTTTCAAAATAGTGCATTGTGCCGATTTATAGCATATTTTTGACATTTATGAGGTGTTTGCCATAAAATATTTTTTAAAAATAATTCCAGCGCTACAGTCCACCTGACCTCAACCTTTGACCTGCATGCACTTTGCAAAATTCACAATTGTATATTCTGAATTTTGAAAGCGCAGCGAGCGGCGCGAAGCGAGCTCAATAGACTGACGTGCAAGAACAGAGAAATTTGGACTAAAATCTGTATATTTATTAAGTGTGGAATCTTCCCTAAATTCCTTCGCTACCAGCATTCCATTCGATAATGGCGAATATAACAAAATGCATTTTAAGATGCTGTGCAGGGGAACTCCTTAAAATAAAAAAAAAGTCAAAAAATCTTTCTGCCAACACAAAAGTATAATTCATGCGTCTTGAAATATGCATTAATGTTAGTAATTCTTTTTATGGAGAAAGTATTCAAATTACAGATATTGCTTGCAAATACGACCACATTATTAATTGTCCCTACTTATTGTAGATTCCTTAATATACATGTACATCGGGAAATTATTACGGAATATTTTAGCGAAATGCAATACTCGCCAAACAAAATTTCTCTATTTTATTTTTATACTGCTGAAATACATGTTCATGCAAAAAATGTAGAGATACAGATCACTCGCAATTTGATGTACACGTCATTTTGCCTATATCACGTAAAACAAGCATTCTGAGAGTATTGCATTAGCAATACTAGTCCCCTACCGGCAAGTGTAATCTGGTTCCCGTTAAGAATTGAAAATGCCATAATTCCGTCAAAAATTAATGAAGTGGGGCGAAATGTAAACTTGATCTATAACTAATCAAGGTAAAGTCACATACCAAAAATCAGCTCAATATCTACAAGCGTTTAGAAGAAAATTGCGGAAAACCCTTAAAAATTGAAAAGGCCGTAATTCCGTCAAAAATCAATGAAGCGGAACGAAATGCAAACTTGATCTGTAACTCATCAAGATACACTCCCATACCAAAAATCAGTTCAATATCTGCAAGCGTTTAAGAAAAAAGTGCGGAAAACCAAGTGGGACAGACTAACAGACAGACAGACAGAGGGACAGACAGACAGACAGACGGACGGACAGACTCAGAGGAAACCTATAGTCCCCTCCGGTTTCACCGGTAGGGGACTAATAATAATGAATCTACAGAATTATGCATACAATGGAAACAATTATTTGTAAATCTCCCCCGATTTAAAATACACAAGGCATGTATTGAAAATCAAGTATTTCTCTCAATTATTTGTGTTTAGAAATCACTTCTTACATTAGATGTTCAGTTTCTTAAGCACAACTTGCAGTATCTCTATTTCTTTATCTTGTTTTTTTTTTTTTTTAATTTTACAACAACTTATTTCTTTGCCAACCATGTTGACAATATAAATCAGTTGCAACCACTGTACGAGGGCTGTCCCCAAAAGTCGAAGACACAGTTCATAACTTTGTAAATATTCAACCAATATAAACAAAATTTTGTATGACTATCATTTACCAAATATCCATTAAAACATTGAATAACTGAATGAAAATCTTTCACAGTAATGATATTGTGATAATTTACATTTGTTACCGAGGGTATTGAAGATGCATTTCTTTTTCTGACATGTAAAACATTAAATTTCAAAAATTCAAATTTATATCAATCAAATCTGAAAACAAACCTGCAAAACATATAAAATTTTCATGTAAATGGTATCTGGGACAAAGGAGTGGTGACGCAGTTTTAAAATGAAAGAGTATTCTGATTCGAGTTTACCATTACCACAAATGATGTCGTCAAACGCGTCCCCAGCATATGGGGATGTAATGAAATATTGGTTTGATTGAGGTATATTTTCCCTCTCAGAATTATATTTAAAACAAGACGTGTTTGTGATACATGATACCCCCGTATGGCAACTTATAGCGAAGGTTAAACTTTCTCTGAAGCATATCAAGTATGTTTGTACCCAAAGCAAGGTCTTGTCCCGAGGAATATACCAGTGAAATATGAAAATTCTTGCAGCAACCATTGAAAAGATATGTAAAAGGTTAAAGTTTTTCAAAAGCAAAGTTAACGTTTTTCAAAAGTAGGTCAAACTCCAAGGTCAAGGTCAAAGTTGTTGGTATCCAAAAGAAGGTCTTGTCACAAGGATTACATAGGTGAAGCATGAAAGCCCTGGCACCAACTGCTCAAAAGTAATGGCCAAGGTTAAAGTTTTCCAAAAGTAGGTCAAACTCCAAGGTCAAGGTCAATGGGATATAATAGTTGGTATCGAAAGGTCTTGTCACAAGTAATACACGTGAAGAATGAAAGCCGCCTTAACACCAAATATTCAAAAGTTATGTCCAAGGTAAAAGTTTTCCAAAAGTAGGGTCATGCAAAGTTGTTGGTATCCAAAGAAAGATCTTGTCACAAGAATTACAAGTGAAGCATGAAAGGCAAAGCACCAACCGTTTAAAAGTGAAGTTGCCTACGAAGGCCAGTTTTTGAAAGAGAACAATCATGATATGTTCAAAGTGAAGTAAATTATGATTGCTTTTGTGCGCTGTCCTTCACTATTACACTTTTTAAAATTTTTATATTACTTTCTTTTTTTAAAAGTGTTATTCTTATGAAACTTGAAATCCATGATCATTAGAGGTTGCCCTTTACTATATCTACATGTGTACAACAAGAAAAGGAAGTTATGTTAGCAAAGAGAAACTGAATTTTTTAACCTGTCTTCAACTTTTTGGGTCAACCCTAGCTTGTTCTCAGTGTTGTCTATAAAATTACAACAAAAGGGAAAGTCAAAATAAAACAAAAGAAGTTTATTCTTCATTATTGAAAGATGTTAATAAAATGAAGTTTGCAAATTTCAATTATTAAAACATCTTTTCTGCAATTTTTTAAGCATTATGAATTAATACATTATCTCAATTTTTAAACCTGTAAGATATAACACATTACTATTATTTCTTAGGCAAGTAAGTACACCACCTTACATTGTAAAGTGAAACAAACATCTCCTTTTGAATGAAAAGAGAGATTACCTTGAAATTTCTTGAGCAATATTTGAGTGCATTTTTTTGCTGGATATAACTGCCTGAACAATCTTTAAAGACTATTTCATAGAAGCTCCTATTAACAGATATCAATTTCTGATCTTTGGAACAAAACTTTGTTCATAGCATGGAATATGTAAGCTTAACACATGTAGCGTTCATACAAAATCTAGAGTATTATATATTTAACAAGATTATCAATCACCGAAACACAAGAATATACACTGTATGATATTAGCTGTCTGCTCTTATTCAACAAACCAGTGACTAACAATAGCATAATAACAAGCTAAGTTGATTTCTTAACAGATTTTACACAAATTCATAAACAAAAGCATACTAAGCCAATATATTTTTTTTCTATATCAATATAGTGATTTCTTTAATATTTTTTTTTCAGTTTCTAGGTTCATTCTATTTTTCAGCGATGTTTATTCAAGAATTATTATTACATGTAATGCCTAACCAAGAAAATACTCAATTTACAATGAACACCATGGTATAAACATGACTGACTCAATACTACGGCCAAATAAAACATTCTAGTATCTTTTCTTACACAAATATTAACAGCAAAGAAAAGCATCAGCTGAAATCAAGGAAGACTTTTTCTGTATGAAACTTAAAAAAATTCAAGCATTTCAATCAAGGTTTTCTTTTTCTAAAAAGGAAAATTAACATTTAATTCTTTTGCCTAAAATCGGGAATTGAACACTTGACAACCATTTATAAAATGTCCAAGTCATAATCATAAGTTAAAAGCACCAGTATTTCAATGAACACATACAATATCTGGGCCTTATATTCACTTTGTTGTAAATGTGTCTTTAACTGCTTGGCTAGTGTTATCAAACATTGGAGATCGTCATTCAAGTTAGAAATACATGTCACTGTGAATTTTGAGCAGTAATTATTTACCTTATAAAGAAAAAAAATATTAAAAGATATTTAAGAAAACAAATTCTAAACACATGAAAAATGCAAAAGAGAAAAATAAAAGAATAAATTTAAAAAAAAAAATCATAATAAAAGGAAACCAAAAATATAAAGCTCAGAAAAAAAACTTATTGCTTTGATCAAAAAAGTTCCTTCGTTATAAATACCGCTAAGTTGAAATTAAATTTAACTTCTAATATTGGGAAAATATCCCTTTGGCGTAGTTAAAAAACCTTTATACTTTGTTTCAAGTACTTCGCAAAATTTGGTTGAGACTCTTAAAGAGATTTATAAACTTGTAACATGTCTCCTTGTGATACAGCTTAGAATAATGAAATAATACAAAGAAACGCAGACATAAAATGCTATCATTAACTGCCCTATGCAACTGATGTCACATTAAATTTATTCCATTAGTTTTATTCCTCAGTCAAAATCTTTTCCCCTCTTGGCACTGTGCATGATTATAGAGTATCACAGAAGCTTCTGGTTGACCAGGATTATTGTAAGGGTGCAACAGATCCATCGTTAATTGATAATTGTGCAAATCCGATCAAAGTCTTGTCACAGGGAGCCTCATTAGGACTACAGCCTGAATTCTGGTCAGAGAAAAAAAAATTAAATGAATTAAAATGGTTTGTTCTTTACAATTTCTTATCAATTAGATATGGACTGACCACTAAAACTTGGTCTGATACATTTAATTGTGTTTTGCTGTGATGACTTTTAAGTTTCACAACTACCACTACCCCCAGACTTCTCTGCTTTGGGAGCACATTATTACTTTCAACAATGAAGAAAGAAGGGACGTAACATTAGGGAAGGTCACGACTAAAAGAGTGTGTTGATTACTTACTAAAGCAAATGTAACATTCTTGAGCTCTGGACAGTCCTGAAGTTTCTGTAGATTGGCAGCAACTACAAAGTATAAAATTCAGACAGTTTTAATTAACATCTATACTACTATATTAAAATAATAGACTCGAATTTTTGGCTTTTAATACCGATAAATCGGAAGAGTACTGTCTTTTGTTTGATATATTTTAAACATCATTGGTACTTGAAGATTACCAATTTGTTTTTATTTTTTCTCAATTAAGCTTTGCTAATTAATAATCAACGAAAATTCCTCAAAAAATTCCGGAAATCATCTGGATTTTTTGGATTTTACAATCTTGCGCGTGCGCATTACATTCACGCTAAATCAATCTCCCTTGCAGAGTTGTCGTTCGTTTCTCTCTCATACACAAATGTATGAGCCGTTGGTCGAGATTGTGTTCAAATCAGAGAAGACAAAAATAAATACTAAGTAGATGTATATTTGTTATTGTATAATTTCTCTAATAAGAAATCAGTAATATATATGAACAGAATATACAGCAAATTTCCAATGAAAATTTACACGTATTTGTCATAGGGGTCGGAACCAGGGGGGGGGGCTAGGGGGGCTTAGCCCCCCTTTTCATAATATAGGCATTGAAAATTGGGGCTTACCTTTTTTCGTTGGTTTAACCCCCCCCCTAACTTTCAAATAGCCATCCCACTTTCAATTTGCTTCTGAGCCTATGTTTTTATGTATTATCGTAATCATATCTGAGTTTGTGATATTGTGGCCACGTGGGTAATCATTCGCCATCTCGGAGACACATTTATTATATGTTATTTACATCTCTGGCCATCTCAACGGAGGCAAAAAGCTCATGATCGTAGGAGCAACATTAATGTAACTACCCGATTTATTTTATCCCTCCTCTTTTATCCTTTTTTGAGGGGAACTGAAGGGGGGGGGGGTGTGTGTTACAACTCCAGTTAGAATCACATCTTAGTGAAGTAGGCATTCTTTTTCCGCCAAAAATTACAATAATAACTACTATATAAAAATTATAGACTCGAATGTTTGGCCTTTAATACCGATAAATCGGAAGAATACTGTCTTTAGTTTTATATATTTTAAACATCATTGGTACTTGAAGATTACAAATTTGTTTTTATTTTTTCTCAATTAAGCTTCTTTTTTTTAATTACTTTTTCTATGTACTAATTCAAGGATATTACATTAATTTTTATCAAAACAGACAGTCTTTTACAGATTATATACCTGTCTTTTACCTGTGTATATATAAAGTACATGTATATGTATTAGCCATGCTTAACTCTTTTATTGTTGAGGTCATATTTTGAACAAGTTGAGACCTGCAGTGTCAAAATTGTTACAAAATTTTTTACACCTTTACTTTAATAACTGATTGTGTAAAAATACCAGCTTAGCACATTTCTTCATTTTCATTACTTTGCTTGATATGTATCAACAGTGTGCTAAAGTCTTTGCTGTTGTCATATTTTCAATGAACATCCATAATTTCTTTTATTAAATTTGTTTGGAAGGGTGAAATTTATGTAAGCTCCGGCGTGATTCGAACTCAAGACTTGATCTATAGCTAACTGGTGGTCAAACCCATTCTGCGCTACGCCGTTATGCAACAATTTAAAAAAAAACAAAAACAAAACGAAACAAACACCAAAAAAAACAACAAAAAACAACAAGATGTGTTTGTGAAACACTGATGCCCCCGTATGGCAGCTTATGGCGAAGGTTAAAGTTTCTCAAATGCAAGTCAAAATCCTGGCCAAAAGATAAAAAATGTTGATACCCAAAGAAAGGTCTTGTCTCCAGGAATACACCAGTGAAATTTGAAAGACCTAGATACAACTGTTCAAAAGTTATGGCCAAGGTTAAAGTTTTTTAAATAAAAGTCAAACGTCAAGGTCAAGGTCAAAGTGGTTGGTATCCAAAGGAAGATCTTGTCACAAGGATTACATATGTGAAGTATGAAAGCCCTAGCGTCAACCATTCAAAAGTTATGGCCAAGGTTAAAGTTTTTCAAAAGTAGGTCAAACTCCTAGGTCAAGGTCAAAGGGTCAAAGTGGTTGGTATCCAAAGGAAGATCTTGTCACAAGGATTACATATGTGAAGTATGAAAGCCCTAGCATCAACCATTCAAAAGTTATGGCCAAGGTTAAAGTTTTTCAAAAGTAAGTCAAACTCCTAGGTCAAGGTCAAAGGGTCAAAGTGGTTGGTATCCAAAGGAAGGTCTTGTCACAAGGATTACATGTGTGAAATATGAAAGCCTTAGCATCAACCATTCAAAAGTTATGGCCAAGGTTGAAGTTTTTCAAAAGTAGGTCAAACTCCTAGGTCAAGGTCAAAGGGTCAAAGTGATTGATATCCAAAGGAAGGTCTTGTCGCAAGGAATACACACGTGAAGTTTGAAACCCTAAGCACCAACTGTTCAAAAGTTATGGCCAAGGTTTAAGTTTTTCAAAAGTAGGTCAAACTCCAAGGTCAAGGTCAAAAGGTCAAAGTTGTTGGTATCCAAAGGAAGGCCTTGTCACAAAGAATACACATGTGAAGTTTGAAACCCCAAGCACCAACTGTTCAGAAGTTATGGCCAAGGTTAAAGTCTCATAAAATTTTGCAAAAGTGGGTCAAACTCCAAGGTCAAGGTCAAAAGGTCAAATATGATGGTACCCAAAGAAAGGTCTTCTCACAAGGAATACACATGTGAAATATGAAAGTCATAGCTCCAACCAATCAAAAGTTATGGGCAAGGTTAAAGTTGACAACAGACAGACAGACAAACAGACAAACAAACAGACAAACGGACAAACAGACAAACAGACAGACAGGACAAAAACAATATACCCCCGGGATCTTTCGATCCGGGGGCATAAAAAAAAAAAAAACAGAATTATATTCACATTCATTGTTTATTTAAAAAATACCTTACAATATGAATGTATCGATGTATCTATTTTGTAAATGTCCGATATGCACATGGATTCATTCATAACAATGTCAATCCGTGCACGCAGGGGTCAAAGTCTAGTCTTCCATATAAAATATGATTTCCCATAAAGAAAATATGTACTGTACATCTAAGATAGATATTTCTATAATTGAAGGCCGATACATTTTCCTTATAATCTTCATTGTTGTAAGTTTGCAGCCAATGCACTGCCTCATTACACTATATTCACATTTCCAAATATTTTTCCTTAAGATTCTTTGCAAATTGGAAAAAAGTTCATGTTCTCATGAACTACCGTGGGATGAGTAAGAATATTTCCATTGTGATGTAAATGAACTCAAAAAATGGTGCTTTTTTCAAAAATGATCTTGAATGACAAAAATATGTGGCAAGTCATCAGAAAAATAATGTAAATATAAGATATGAATTTAATTTTATTTTTAGAGATAATTTAATTTCCAGCTTACCAACAATCATGTCCTTTCCATTAACTAGCCCTGCCTCCACCATTTCTCTGGAGACACTGTCAGCTGTGTCTGTTAAGAATATTTAACATTCAAAAAATTGGAATTTTAGCAAAGAGTTGGTGAACATCTTTTCATGAATTAAAGAGAATAGATGTATTTCTTCATGCTTGCTCTTTTACTAAATAGTTATACAAAAAAAAAAATTTTCTTGAGCATATTCTGTACAGTACTTACATGAATGTATGTAACTACATCATTTCATATATTTCTTTCATAGAATTAATTTATGCCAATGTAGTAGTGTGGAATATATTTAATAAATAAATGTTCTAAATTTAATGTAAATAAATTAAACTACCATAAAAGATAAACATAAAATGTTGGATCCACCCCTTTATTTCCCTAGCCCTACCTGTAAACTTGTACACCTGTATATAGATAATTAGTTACCTTAGGGCAGGTCAAGGGTTTTGGTGTTTTATTGGTTTTCATTGGTAGTTTGTTTAAGAAGTTGGATCTTATTGGTTTTATTCTTTTGGTCATTGGTTTTACCACCAAAATATTCATTCTTTGTCTTGTTGAGAGATTGCCAAGGCCAAACAAAAAAATATGTCTGGTTCCGGTTACACCTCCATAAAAATTAGGGTAGGTAGGTAGGGAAATTTTTTTTTTAACAAAATGATTTTCTTAATTTTTTCTTTAGAAATAATACCTATCACTGCTTTGCAAATGGCATTTAGATGTGGTATGATAATATAGTCAATATTGGTAGGGGACACCTACATGCTAGTTTGCTTTGGATTTAACACTATTAAACTATGTTTTGCAAGGAGGCCGTCATTGCTGAAACTGCCATTGATGGAAATCGGGGAAAATTCCGGAAAAAATATGAAAATTGCAGAAAAAAAGTTTAGGGTCGGGGGTATAAAATAGGGAAGGTCGAGTAACCGGAACCACACATATTTTTTTATTTGGCCCAAGACTTCATTTTATGGACTCTCTCATGACTTTGACTTGGAGACTGAGTTTTCCACTTTTTGGTTAGTACTAACTTTTCTTTATTGTTAATAGTTAATTAACATGTCCAGTCTGTAAATATGCAATTATAATAAATCCCATTTACACTTTATATTAATGGAATGAATGACCATGAGAGAAAGATATTTATTTTTATGATTGGAATTATTGATTTTGAAGATCAGTAATGTAAGTTATATATTGAAAGTGTAAATTGTTATGTTCAAGTTACACTATATATTTTATGATCCAGCTATTTGGTTACTTTCTTCAAAGTGAACAGATGATTTTTATTTTAATGGAATATATATTTTAATGTATACTGTATTAAATTACAGAGTCCATATACATGTTTATGACATCATACATTCATGTGGTAAAGCCTTTTCCCACAGAATGGTGAGGAACTATTTGTTTTAATTAGTAATATTTTTTTATGCCTATATATGGGAGAAAATATGTAATGACTATGAATCAGTTGTAAGAGTTATCTTCCTTAATTGAGAGTCAATATATGATTATCAATATGTTACCTATGTGAGCTAGATGTATGTATAAATGATGCATTAATAGGATTGATTTGATGTGATATAATATTGTTGTTTTATTATATTTCAGGGCTATGTTAATATATACTGCTCACTGTGTCAATAAAATAGACCTGAACCCTGAACAGAGACGTGCTTATTTATTTATACACAACCCCGTTACACCAATAAAAAATTTAATAAAATGTGCTCATAGCAAAGTGCCGGGACAAACAATTTTGATTTGTTGTAAACATAATCTATTATATGTTACAAGTTCATAATACATTTTAAAACTACGCTTTCCTGCATGAAATATGTGAATTCATTATAAGCATTTTTACTATAACCATGTTTTACTGTACTGTAAACTCATTAATTTTAATTGAGATCATATCTGGTGGTTTTAACAAAAAGTACAATTTAGTAAAATTAATAGACAGCTACCTTCTCCTCTTCTATCATTATTAAAATTTAGAGTTTGTTGATTGCCTAATTATGTGGAGTGACTCAACCACTAGTACAATGAAAATTGGTGCTTAACAAAAAAAAAATGATGGGACCACAGTATCGTTCTTATTTTGTCCAAAAGGGATTTTTAAATCATTTTTCATATAATTTAATTCTCTATTCACACAGTGTACATGTATCTTGTCTAACAGTGAAATAAAATTTGCTATTTTTACATTCTCTCTTTCTTACCTTGCCCAATGGTGAATTCAAATTTGATATCATTTAATTCTCTCTTTTCATTTCTGGAATAACAAAAATAGCATCTTGTTTATGGGAAATAGCTTAGTTTTTTTTTTTAAAATTAACCTGGAACTTAACAGTTCCTTCCTATCTGGTTTATCTTTATAAAGTCTTTCTCTGCTTTTTCAACCAAATAAAATTTTGATTAATTTTAACCTAAAAAAATTTCAACAGATGAATACATTTTGGCTTCTCAATATTAGGCTTTTTCAAATTTGATACAACTTTCTACATAATATTTTTAAAATAACACTCACCTGAGTCTCAGGACTAGGTTTAATGGCACCTGTGAAACCTCAGCCTGCGAAACCTTGAGGGATAAAAAAGAAGAATATGAAAAAAAAAAACAATAGTATTATTTTCATGACCATAATTACTTTTGTTATAAATCATGATCAGTAATTATAAGTCCATTCATACCTGAGTTGCTGAAGCTGACGGGGTGGAGTCTGCTGATTCGTTGACCAGTAAAGCTGTCGATTCCGAGGGTGTATTGTCAGCTCCTGTGGCGATGGTGCTATCTGTCCTCTCTACTACAGTGGCAGTACTACTGGTACTGCCAGCCGGCTGCTCAATTTCTGTAGTGTCTGCATTCTACAAATTTATAATGTCATCAATATTGTAAATATTACTGTAACAATTCATTATAAAGTACTTAATTTTTATTTACCTCCCTTTTATAAAAAGGTTAAATATGGGTTGGATTTGAAGAAGACATTAAATCATTATCACCAAGATATAATGTACAACATTTTAGAATGTTCAATAAAAACAATGTCCACTGTAAGTACACTTAGTCTATTCTACTAAAAATTATTCTTAAAGGCAAATTTAATAGCATGGAATTCAAATTTTCAAGATAATGCTCAACAGATAAAAGGAAATATGATGCATACACCATTAAGAAGATGATTACATAAGATGGTGAAACAAAATAGTGAAGCAAATTCAATTTCCTTGTAATTTTTTCAGAAATGATTTACAATAAAATACTACTAGAAATGGACGATTCTGAAGTCACTAAATTCTACAACATATCCTTACCTCCACAGGTTCCCTAGTCTCCTGAAAATAAATGCAAGTATCATTAACATATATACTTTATATATATTTGCAAATCTAACTTTTAATGAATATAAATATCTTTCTGTATTAAAAACATCTTCTGCTATCACAGAAACCCTGTGTATCAATTCTGTAGCATTCATTTTTTTTTTACACAAACTTAAGAATGTTTCTTGTGTGGGGGTTGCAAAAAGCATATTCTATCTGTTCAATAGCATTCCTTTTTTTTTTTTTTTTTTACACAAACTTAAGACCATTACTTGTGTGGGAGTGGCCACCAGTGTATTCTATCTATTCAGTAGCATTCAGTTTTTACACAAATTTAAGATCCTTACTTGTGTTGGGGTGGCGACTAGTGTATCCTGTCCCTGATCTGGAACCATCTCATCATCTGACCACTCCCATTCTCCCTCCTCATTCTTGTGAAGCTTCCCACTGGACCCAGGGACACGCTTAACCTTCTGGGGTTTGACAGCCACACCATCGGACAACAGAGACTTAACAAGGTACTGTTTGTCCTGTTAAAAACCAACCCTCACAGATCCAAGAACAGTGTATTAACCAGAATTTTTAGCAACCATCTAATTATGGCATTATTAATGATAGTCTTGGCAACACAAAAAATAAATTTTGCTAAAAAGCAATCATGATAAATGTTTTCCTTACCTTTGCTTTCTTAAAGAACTCATGCTTCAGGAGCTGTTTTGCTGTTGGCCTGAAATAAAAACACAATATTTTCTCAAAATCTTAAGAGAAGTTACAATTTAGAATATAAACAAGCTCAAAAGTATTTCTATGTCAAACTTTAAATCCTTCTTTAAAAAAAATCCTGAAGCAAAACGTTCCCTGTGTGAAGGAAGCATGATGGAACCAAAATATCTCACATGTATTTATTATAATATACAGTCAAACCTCTTTATCTTAAACTCAATGGGACAAAGGAAAAACTTTTGAGATATCTGAAGATTTGACATCAAGGTTAAAATACATAAAGAAAAAGTGGTTGGGACTTCCAACTTGCTTGGACACATCCACAATATTCGAGGTATTGCTGTTGGAGATACTGAAGTTCAACTGTATTGCTTATGAACACTTCTCTCTTGGAAGAACTATCTAAATCAGAGCAATTATGTCGCACTGCAGAAAAAATTCTGCAAATAAAGTAATGAAAAATTGTAAGTACTGCACCTTTTTTCCGGTTCTTTTCGCAGACATTCAGCTATCATTTTACGGAATATTTTTGAGTAACCCTTGTACTGTTCTTTGTCCTCTGCACTGGTGTCCAGATTTGGGGGTTCGTTCTGTAAAGTCAGCATCAGGACTTTCATTGGTGGATATTTATGGTACGGGGCAGTACCGGTCGCCAGTTCAATGGCTGTAATCCCAAAACTCCAGATGTCAGCCTTGAAGTCATAGCCTGTCACCTGTCTCAGGAAAAGAGAAAATGAAAGTTGAAATTTATTTTTTTGCAAAAAATATCATTTAGTTGCTTAAATTATGGTGGATTTACTTTGTCTTAAATCATGCTTAAATATTCTTAACTCCTAATTTCAGTGGATAAAATTTGTTCAATTTATTTATAAAAAAAAAATATCAATGAACTAAACTTTTTTGTAAAAATTGACCAATGTTTCATTATTCACAGTGAAGTTTAAATGTAAATACAGAACCAATTCAGAAATCACCACTGCATGCTGAAGTCTTACAAAAATCACTGTTGTTTCGCACACAAGTCTTTTAATTGTAATTCTAAACAAATCATTGAAGAGATTTTTTTCTGATTAACATATATAAAACTGATCTTCTTTTTGAATATTCATACTGACCTGTTCCATGACCTCTGGTGCCATCCAACATGGGGTTCCAACAAAGGTGTGTCGGACACTGTCCCTAGTAATGTCTTTACCTGTGGCGAGCCATGCACTAACACCAAAATCTGTCCAGGGAAGAATAAAAATGTTAACTTGTAGATTGACCAAATATGGAAATAAATTGATGCTGTCAAGAGCTTTATAAAGTAATACATCAATCTATATAATGTTGGACTCGGAATCTATAGTCCATAATTTATCTACACTCCATCCAGTAATTATTAATTAATATTTACATCCACTGAATATTATTTCCTTTATTTCTTCTAAAAACCATTGCCGCTAATCAGTCCATAAACAACACTAAGCAAGCCACCTGCATAGATTTCTTAAGCAACGGCTGTTCCATCAATTATGCATACAATGACATACACATCTTGATATAATATTTAACATATTTAATTTACTTAATGTTTTTTTTTCAAAAGATATAAATATAAACAATAAAATGTCTTTCTTTCTTTGTTAGTAATTAGAGAATTAATGTCACAGCTATTGCAGAAAAAATTCACATAACCCGCTTATGAGGGTTATGTATTTTTTTCTGCAACAGCTGCGACATTAATTCCCGTACTAACAACCAAAGAAAGCATTTTATTGTTTAACACAAGAATAACACTGGCTATGATAACACATTGTTTATCTCTATTTATAATTATAATATTTTATGAACATTAAGAGCACTGGTCACTCAGATCTGGTGATACATCTTTTGTCTCTAACTTGTACAAAATGTAATAATTTACATGTATATTACAAAGAAAGATAACTGCAACAATATATTTATTCTTAAATTCTCTTCCAAACTACAAATTAATTCTGTATCAACCAAGCCCAAATCACATTTGTTTATCACTGATCAATACCTCTTGTCATATTTTCTTGTATACCTGCTATATATACAGCCCCATCGTCTCCCAGCAAAACGTTCCCTGCCTTGATGTCTCGATGTATCTGTCCATTATTGTGGAAGTATTCTAAGCCCTTTAACACCTCTTTCAGGACAGTAGCAATAGAAGCCTCATCCATTACCCCATTCTTACAAATTCCAGCTTTCATTCTGCTTTTGATGATATCAAGCATTGAACCTGCATGTAAACATCAAATAATTAATACATGTATCAGCAATACTTTTTCTTAACGCATATTTAATGCACATCCATTTTACTATGTACTTTTTTAAAATAACTGTTTTATCCCTTTCTATGCCTCCGTAATTAAAGATTCGGGGGCATATACATCTAGTTTTTGATCTGTCTGTGTATCTTTTCAAATGTCTGTCTTTTTGATAGCAAAACTTTAACATTGCCTACGTCTTCTGAATGGTTAGTGCTAGGACTTTCATACTTTACATGTGTATTCCGTGTGACACGATCTTTCTTTGGGTAATAACATTTTTGTCTTGACCTTGGCATTTGACCTTTCATTTGAAAATGACAAAAATTTACCTTGGCCTCGAGCTGTCATGTGGGGGCATCAGTGTTTCACAAAATCTTGATTCACGTCTATTACTTTTTTAGCATAAACTATCTAATTTCTTGATTAAAAAATTTAAATGTAAATACAATATATAACTTTACTTCCTGTTTCAACAATTGTCATGTCAATGTGTTAATTGTGTTGTTATTCTTTACAAAAATGAGTATCGAAAACAGATTTATGAATTAAATTACCTTTCAATTATATGTATACATAAAGTTTTTAGTATAATGATAATTAAAGTACATAAAGTAAATGTTTAATATTTCAAAGACCCATTAGAGAGTGCCCTATTAAACCTTGATATGGCTTTAAGTTCCCCTTTGATTCTTGGATTACTATGCCTTTTAGGGTCTAGATTTAACTAGAACTGTCCAAAAGGGACAAATACCCCCCGCTGGGTTTTTCAGAGAAGGTACCAAATCACTAATGTTTTCTAGATGTGAGAGGTGTTCACAATTTGCTTAAACATTTAGAGTGAAAATTTAATTACTCATTATATTTTTTTTAATGAATGACACTAATGTGCAGCCTATTAAAACATCAATACTAATAATTACAATGTTTTTTATTACATTGAAAAAATAGTTTGCAACTATCTGTCATCTTTGCGAGACATGACACTCTGCAAATTGATTGTTGAAAAAAAATATCATAATTAATTATACAAAGTCAAACTGATCTTAATACCTTTATATCAAACTCATTTTAAAAATAAAAGGCTGGTTTCAGTAACTATGTATTTTGACAGACATAAATTACAATTAAGAGGCTTAGAAAACAGAGATCTTTATTTCTTTCTGCCCAATTCTCAGGAGATATAGATAAGACCTGCTTGATCAGAGATGCCCTAACAGTTTCCCACACTGAACTCATTAATTAATCTCTAACTGGATGCATGTCCACTCATTACTCCAAAGGGACAAATAGATTTACACTATCTGCTGAGTAATGTAAAAACTGTTTTCAATATTTTGTGATTTTTTTTTAGTTCTGATGAGTAGTTTTAATCTGTAGTTCACATTTTTGTACAGATGTTCTAGATTCTATGTCTCAAACCTTAGACATGAACCCGAAATGACTAAGTCAATAAAAATGAAAAAAAAACAAAAACACCTGTAAAATGCAGAAAAATTATCAAATAATGTTGAAAATACCAGGTGCACATTTTCATATGGTAAATAATAAGTGTACAGATTTTCATACAAATCTATGCAATAGTCTCTGGGAACAGATCCGAGTTATTAGAGTGAAAATTTAATTACTCATTATATTTTTTTTTAATGAATGAAATTAAGGTGCAGCCTAATAAAACATCAATACTAATAATTACAATGTTTTTTATTACATTGAAAAAATAGTTTGCAACTATCTGTCATCTTTGTGAGACATGACACTCTGCAAATTGATTGTTGAAAAAAAAATATAATTAATTATACAAAGTCAAACTGATCTTAATACCTTTATATCAAACTCATTTTAAAAATAAAAGGCTGGTTTCAGTAACTATGTATTTTGACAGACATAAATTACAATTAAGAGGCTTAGACAACAGAGATCTTTATTTCTTTCTGCCCAATTCTCAGGAGATATAGATAAGACCTGCTTGGTCAGAGATGCCCTAACAGCTTCCCACACTGAACTCATTAATTAATCTTTAACTGGATGCATGTCCACTCATTACTCCAAAGGGACAAATAGATTTACACTATCTGCTGAGTAATGTAAAAACTGTTTTTAACATTTTGTGATTTTTTTTTTAGTTCTGATGAGTAGTTTTAAGCTGTAGTTCACATTTTTGTACAGATGTTCTAGATTCTATGTCTCAAACCTTAGACATGAACCCAAATGACTAAGTCAATAAAAATGAAAAAAAAACACCTGTAAAATGCAGAAAAATTATCAAATAATGTTGAAAATACCAGGTGCACATCTTCATATGGTAAATAATAAGTGTACAAATTTTCATACAAATCTATGCAATAGTCTCTGGGAACAGATCTGGACAAAACCACATAATAAAAATGAAAAAAACACCTGTTAAATACAAAAAAATAATCCAATCACGATGAAAATACCAGGTGCACACCTTCATATGGCGAATAATAAGTGTACAAATTTTCAGACAAATCCTTGCAACAGTTTCCAAGAAATGGTCCGGACAAAATCTGGTCTACAGACAGACGGACATGCTGATTCCAATTTACCCCCCCTAAACTTCGTTTGTGGGGGGTATAACAATAGCATCTGAGGACATCCATGGTGCTAGCAGCTGAGGATGTCCTTGGTGCTAGCAGATGAAGACATTCATGGTGCTAACATCTGAGGGCATCCATGATGCAAGCAGCTGAGGATATCTATGGTGCTAGCAGCTGAGGACATCCATGGTTCTAGCAGCTGAGGACATCCATGGTGCTAGCAGCTGACGACATCCATAGTGCTAGCAGCTGAGGACATCTGTGGTGCTAGCAGCTGAGGATATCTGTGGTGCTAGCAGCTGAGGATATCTGTTGTGCTAGCATCTGAGGACATCCATGGTGCTAGCAGCTGAAGACATCTGTGGTGTTAGCAGCTGAGGACACCAGTACTGTATCATGTATGTATGTAACTTTTGATTCATTATTACTTACCTCCACCACATAGCTTCATAACCACCCAGAGTTCTTCCTTCACCACAAATGATGTATAATACCCCACCACATTCTCATGTTTACACTGACTCATAGCCTGAATCTCTTTCTGAAATCAAACAGCAAACTGAGGAAATAAAGTTTCATTTTTTAATATTTTCATGACAGATTTACGCTGCAACATGCAACAAATCTCAATGTCTACATTGCACCATGAGAAAAATTATGTAAACTACCGGGCAGTAAGAGATTTTGAGTGTTTCTGTTTTTAAAGAAAAACTTTAAAAGCTTTGGGTAACATTTCATCGTGTAAATAATGATCTTCTTTATGGGAAAATTAAGAACAACTAACCAAAAGCTCCTCTACTGTGGTGTTGCATTTTTCCAGGTTTATTCTTTTAATAGCCACTTTTTCATTTCTTGGTTTACAGACAGCCGCCTGGACAACTGCTGTAGCTCCCGCACCTATGAATGAAAATCACAAAGCATTTAACAGTGAAATTTTGAAAATGTATCTACAGTTTATCACTTTACTGTACTTAAGAGTCAATGCAAAATTCATCAGCTCTCTGTTTTTTTAATGAAGAGTCTTGAGAGATATAACTTCTGAATATAATTAAGGAATGATTTTTTTATGATCATGTTCACAAACATTTGTTTATGAGAGTTATTCCTCAGAGTCAATGCTTTATATCAAGGTCAAACTTTGTTGGTCAAGAAAGATCAGGGAATCAAATGGCTGTTTAATTTCATAGATGTGTACATGCATCTTAAATATATAATTTCACCAGACCAGGTAATTTTTAAAAGAATGTTTGAATGCCCCATCCCAACTCTGGGTAAAAAAAATCTAGCTGGTAGGTAGCTAGGAGGATTTTTTCTGAGCTTTTATAGGTAACTGTTCCCTTCGAGTTATTTCCCTTAACCGCCATCTTCGAGGTCAAACAAGTAAATTTTCCTCTTTGGGCAACCAAATATGCACGACAAAACTGAAATATAAGGGCAAAAATTGTTATACTACATTTCTTACGAATAAAAGAGAGCTTTTGTTAAACATACATTCATAAAAAAAAAAAAACGGTGTTATCTTCATGTCATTGCCCAGTATCACATTTAAATTGGTTAAATAATGAAGGAGTTTGGGCTTGTTGACCTCCAATATGGGGACCAAGGGGAAATAAATCTTGCTTAAATTGCAAACATTGAAAACTAAAGATAAGGTTGTGCTATAATGATAAAGTATTTGCGAACAAAAGATTGTCTGTTTGCCCTTACCCAAGAGTCTGAAAATGGACAGATTCAAAACTTTTTTTAAAACCTCCAGGAAACAATTATTTTCAAGGGAGAATGCAGAGCTCAACTTAATCAGAACACTGGACCCTTATAAACTCATCCCACAATGGAAACACTCTATAGACGACCTTCTAGCTTCCCAAATGATTCAGATTGACCTGACTAAATTTGTTGAAAATATTCATGAAGACAATTTTCGAGGAATAAATGAGTGGTTTACAATAAAGAGGTTCAATGATGACATCTGTAAAGATTTATTTGAAAAGAGAAAAATATCTTGAAGCAAACTCTTCCTTGTTAAAGTATGTTAATGATTGAAAATTAATCAAATACAAGTTTGAAGTGGAGGTGTCTGAAATTCATTGAGTTAGGCACCTTGTGGTAACAAAAGGATGGGATGACTCAACATACGAAACAAGTGCCTGTGCTGCAAACACACGTACTGAGTTCCTAGACCATTGTTAAACTTATCTCTAGGAACTATCATTTTAACATAAATAAAATAACACTGTAACAAAGTAATCATGAAACATGCATATCCATTATCATTCATGACTACTTCATGAATATTTCATATGATGTAAATGAACTTCAATATGCCGATTACCCTTTTCACACGTAAAACATGCATATGCTCCAGCAACTATACTAAATTACAACCATTAATTATCTCCAGCCAAGTTTTTCTTGAAATACCATTTAAACACAAATTAATCCTATTCATCAATTAAAATGTACTTTATTTAGAAATATCTTAACATTTGCTGACCTATTTAACTGATAAACATCCATCACATTAAACATGACCGACATACGCACGCTCTCGTACAAACGTAATATTTCGACTTTCCTTAGTTCTGAAACAGTCGAAAATAACATTTTGAACAAATACCCCTGAAAATGAAATGAGCAAAATTTATTACCTATGACGTCTTTCAGTTCGTAAGCATCTCGGTTGTTTGGCCAGGAAGTTTTTTCCGCTTCGGCCATCGTCGTACACCAGACTTTGACCAGCCTCAGCCAGAAAAACGACCTTGACCGAAAAACGGATTTTGAGGACAGCAATCCCGAGTTTATTTTAAGAAATTCAGTTCTTATCAATTTATTCCCATATGAACAGTATAATTTGTATTTTATGATAATTCTTATCAAAAATATTTTTTTTAAAAATGACGTGGGGTAGTTTCTTGCTTGTTTTTTTTTTTTTTTTTTTTTGATTAAATAATATGATCGGGTTCGACAAAACTTTCTTTTGTACTAAAAAAATATCGAACCCGGATACATTTATAACTGTGTTAAGTTATTACCAAGAAGACAAAACGCTTCAAGATGTCTACAGCCGATTCTGACTTATCGGAACTCCCCCCGTACACGGCCCTGTTATGGGGACAGTTTCTGGCAAACCCACACCTGATGTACAATTTGTTTTCAAGTGGACCAAATGGGTCATCTTACGCCTCAGACCGTGTAATAAACATGACGGGGGTCTGGACTAATTCTAAGATGAGGTATAAAAATTATTCCATGTATTTGAAGTAAAAGCACATAAATTCAAAAAGTTAATAATTATGTAAGTTATACTTGATGGAATTAAAAATACAAAAATGCACTTCACGCTTGGTTGAATATGAGATGAATTTACCTGAGGGTTTTCCCCTACAGGTACTAGCTGTTTAAGTATCTTGTCCAGGCAGAATATTTGTAATGTGACAGATTTTATTTTCACACAAGACTCCATACATGTACATTATAAAGCAGGTTCAGCACTATCCCATGATTTAACTATATACTGTATACCGGTAGCTCAAATTAGTTATATACAGGTTGATTTAGCAATTCAAAATAGCCTGTGAAACAGGAAAGGAGAAAAAGTATGGATGAACCAGGAAATGGAACTTGGGCCCCTGCATTACTAGTCAGGATCGAGTTCTAACCACTGAGATACCCATTTCAAATCCATGCCCCAAAACAATTACGTTCTTCACTCCTTAAGTTCTTTTAGCCTCTAGTAGTACTAGTACTTTCACTTACAAGTCCAGAGGTGCAGAACGGCACCAAATCTGTAAATGATTAACAGTACCTTACGCCTCGTTGACTCCAGATTGACCCCACTAAGGGAAATAACTCTTGTAAATGTGAGAAATTAAAGTTGTCTATTGGCTTGCAGAGATGAGGGAAGGCTTATCCTGCAATAAAGTTGAATTATCATTATTATTGTGAAATATACTGAAAACTCTTCCTAATTGCTTTACCTTCTTGTATGATATTACATAAATAGATTGAATGATAGAATAAACACATGGAAAACAAGAAGTACAATCTTCATATACCATATCAGTCAAGCTTAATACATGTATTCTTAATGACCCACCATGAATAATGGCCAGGACATATAGTATAGTTATTTTGTCATGTTCATCTTCCATCAATCTTCACTATAAACCTTAAGGGTTTCGGATCTACTATCTCCTGACATACCCTTGGCCTATCAAAAGTTGGATGATACCATTGCTATTTATAGAATGGCATGTTATCTTAATTAGTACGGATTGTTGTTTACTTGTGTTTTTCATTCCTGAGACTAGAGTCAAAATATATCCAGAACGGAGGTATCATCATTTACAAAAGCAATCACTGATAGGTGAAACAATATCGATAAACTCCAATCACAACTTGAGAAAATTTTTTTTTTTATAGCACCATAGGCCAAGGGTTTGTGTGGAGAGTAGCGGATCAGAAATCCTTGGCTTAGCCAAGATGTCTTCCATCCTTGTCTCCTTTTGTCCTTCTTCATTTATATCCACGAATGGTTATGGAAATATTCATGATTTAATAATTTTTTTTTAGTGAGTTTAAGGTTGACAGTCTAGAAGAGCTACAGAGAGTGAGAAATGATCTTCTGACAATGCCTATATTATTCCACATCAAAGTGGAACATCAAAAAACAGAAAATTATGCTGTCATCAAAATCCGAAAGAAGTGGAAAGGTATCAATACAGTATCTTTGTCTTGTTGAAAAGATGTTCACAGATTTTTTCCAAAGTAGTATACAGTAAAACACTTTATAGAATGGTCTATAGAAGGGACTAACAATTCAGATTCATTATAAATGTATTTCATTATTTCTGTTCAGTTCACAATACATTTTAAAACTAGGGTGAATGAAAATCACTTTGCTGTAAGTGTAAATTCATTGAAGTGTGAGTGCTATAATCGTGTTTTACTTTATGTAAAAGATTTTTAATGTTTTATATTATTTATAGTATGTTCATTGGAACATTATAGGCAAATATTAAAATAAGCATTACCTATTCAATTTTTTTTTAAGAAGGGGGGTGGGTGGGTTATCATGCAATGAAAAGACAGGCCTTTGAAAAGATACATGTAGTGTTAAAGCGTTTACTTGTATCTTAAAATCAAAATCTCAAAGACTTAACATGCCAGTGATATACTTACAAGTCTAAAGATGATGCATTTATTCTGTTACTTAATTTTAGATGAGTTTGCAGTGCTTGTTAACACACGTCATCCGACCATTCGAGAAATTCTGTCTCACAAACTTAACGAGGCCACACAGTACATGCAGGAAGGCAAGAACTTCTGCCTAAAGGTAATCAAAACACATGGTTCTGTATAAAAAAGAAAAAGTGGAATATAAATATTGTATATTAAACATGTACATGTAGGATACTACACAAAACCAGTCAAAGGTGCTACAGTACCGACCAGACACAACCTAACAGAAAGCGAACCCAGAGCGCACCCCGGGTTCGCTTCGGGTTCGCTTGGGGTCCGCTAGTGCTGACCCCGAGCGAACCCGGAGCGCACCCGTAGCGAACCCGCAGCGAACCCAGAGCGGACCCAGAGCGAACGCTGAAAGCGAACCCCAAATTCAGTAGCGGTCCCAGAAAGCGAACGCGCGTTCGGTGTTGCATAACAGAGCTGTCAATCAGGATTAGCGATTAACTCATCAGCGCGTCGACCAATCAACATGCCGAACAGGTCTGTCAATCAGGATAAGGGATAAAATGCATTGACCATCAGCGCATCAACCAGTCAACATGCCAGTTTGTAATCTAAACATTGTACAAGCAAAGCGTGTGAATGTACAGTGTAAAAATATTATCAATATGATTTTTAAACATGATTTTATATTTATATATTTTAATTCTCCAGACAACATGCAATATTTACACATCTATTTGCATTATTTTTTATTTTCAAAATCTATTAATACATTACATATTTTTATTGGACTTTTGCGAGAAGCACTGACTTTTATAGTCGACGACTTACTTTGACATTTAAACCTACCTTATGTACGGAGGTACGGAATTGATAAAAGATAAGAAAACCTTAATGTTGGTTATAGATATTTTTTTTGGAGCACTTAAATGATTAAGTGGTATGCAATCAACGCAAGAGATGATGTGAGGCAGAATTACAAAGTTTAAATTATTTATTTGTGAGGAGTAGTATCTCCTTTCAATCTCATTTTCTGAAGGAATCAAATAAGGAAGAAAAACATTCCGGAAGGAAAAATAAGCAAGAGTTGGTCAATGTGGGAAGGGAGGGGGTTTAGGGTAGGGTGATTGTCGTTCCCTTCCTAGACAACGTAATATGTGCTTTGAAATGGCCCATTATAATCATTTAATTAACCATCAAGCTAAATTTTTATATCGCAAAAGAGCTTCCATAGACTGTCGTAGTGTAAAAGTAAAAGTCAGCGCTTTTCGCAAAAGTTCATTATCCAGGTAGCATATTACATGTATAGTTGCATATTTATTTTCTTTATATTTTTAAAATCCATTAATTTATAAATATACATTGCGTAAATTTATCAGACAATAAGTAATTTAATTCATTATAGAAAAAAGAAGATAATAATTGTTATAACAATTGTTACTAAAAAAAAAAAAAAAATTAATAAAACACAAGTCTTCGATAAATTATAGAATTTTATTATCTCAAGATACAGTATAAGAACATGTACGTGCTTTAATTTAATTATTTTTTATTTATTATTTCAATTTACATGCACGTTTTAATTTATCCAGATCAACATCGAAATTATCGATCTTAATGATTGATCATGAAAAAAAATTAAATGTACATTGTACAGTATAAATGTGCATTATGTCAATACGTAAATCGGAGAGAAAAAAATCTCATTTGATTAAATACTGTGATATTTTTTTTAAATTAATCTTTTACCAAAATTTATTAAATAGCTTGATTTAAGTACATGTATGTAGGGAAAGATTATTTTGTCAATTCTCATGATCCTACATGTAGACCTTACATTGTATGTTTTTGAATTTTTGTAACTACTTGCAAGTCAGTCAAAAAAAAAATTCTTATCACTTTCCTTCGCGTCGATATATACATGCATATACATGTACAGGTTTAATGTTCACGAACCTCTTACATGTACTACATGTAATTTTCGAAATACTTTATATGGATATTACTAGACGGGTACGTTTTGTACTTGTTCATGAAAAGTACACGTAATTCCAACTTTAGCAAATTGAACTTGCAAAGATACCTTAATACGAAAACGTACATATATTTTTTCATTACATACATGTAGGCACCTGTACTTGAACTTTGTAATTGTCATAATTATTTAATTTTAACACTTTAATAATAATTATTATAGTTTCAAAGTGAAGCCAAGGTCATCACGTGTCGGTATCATCCACCTGTTTTGAAGATATTGCGGGTGCTAAGAGCAATTGCGGTGGGTTTTTATTAATTGACACTTGCTAGCTGGATGTATACTGTCTCCATGGTCACGGTATACCTGAGTATATACTCCCCCTACATTCGATGCTCCTTAAGTTACATGTACCTCGTCTTGGCACGTTATCAGTAAGAAATTCAATTATTATTTTTTTTTTTATTTTTGAATTTGGAAACGTCATATTTCTTTGGTACGTTGCATGAAGAGTACATATTCATGTAATTTGTTGCCACCTGAATGCTAAAAATCAGTAAAATAGCTTTACGAGAGAGAGAGAGAGAGAGAGAGAGAGAGAACACTGTATATTATTTGAAATTAAAATCGCTACAACCGGCCCATAGAAAACAATTCGAGTACGGAGAGGGGCGGGGGGCTCATCGAAATAAAACAATAAAAAGAAACATCTTAATTTCATCTACTTATTCAATATTCATGCGAGTTTACAGTTATTGAATTCATGATTTGTGTGTTTTCTTTCTTGTTTTTATACATTTTTAAACATTTAGAATTTTGTTTGTTAACATGCCGCTCCAGTATGTACATGTATGTAGTGGGGCTGGGGGGGGGGGGGGGGGGGGGAGAGGGGGGGGCATGAACCAGTAAGGGGCACAAAATATTCAAATGATCATTTACATGTAATTTGAAAACAACTTAAAAAAATAATATATTCTTATCACTGGACCAGTTATTAGTTTCGGTTTGTTTGTTTTGGTTTTTTGATTGTTTTTTTTTTTTTTACATAAGTCTTCCGTTAACTCGCATCATAAAACAATGATTTATAGCATGGAAGTATATTATAAATGATCTGTAAAACGAAACTCAAGTTACACTGTATGAGAATTTTTAGTGATTATCACGACCTACATATACATGTAATGGACGACAACCTAGCTTAAATGTAAACTGCTAAACATGGAAACTTAGCATTTTACGTGTACAGTATGTCTCAGCTATTTCCAACTTATTTTCCAACTTATTTTAAAACGCATGAATAATGTAAACAAATAAATTTGAAAGCTTTCTTTTATTAAGATACTCTTATGAATTGCACTCCATCCGATACATCGAAAATAAATTTAACACCTTTTTCTTCTTTTTCTTTCGAGATATACTTAGCTTTAAGTTAAGAAAAATAAAAGTGATAATTCTACGTCGAAAGTACTGTCCGGTGTAATTCTTGAAAATTTATCAACGTTCACCATATTGTCACTTACATGTACATGTTTCGATCACCATAAAAACAGTAATGATCGATTTCACTACTGTATTTGGAATATACAAGGGGCGGGGCTTACTGGCGGCAAGATTAAAGCGGGGTCCACTTCACGCATGAATGCGTAAAGCGAACCCGGAAAGCGAACGCCGGGTTCGCTCTAGCGGACCCAGAGCTGACCCCGAGCGAACGCAGAGGGAACCCGAAGCGCACCCAGAGCGGTCCCAAATTTTCTGAAAGCGGACCCGAAGCGGACCCCGAGCGAACCCAGGAAGCGAACCCAGGGTGCGCTTTGGGTTCGCTCTGGTGTTAGGTTGTGTCCGGTCGGTACTGTATCTTAAGTATTCTGTTATATATTTTGTTTTGTAGCTGGATTTCGGTCCCTCTGTGAAGCAGTGGTATAGTGGTGTAGTTGACAATGAGGTGTCCTTTTGTGATTCCCGCAGTAACAGCGACTCCGGACACATGGAAATCTATGTCCACAACTACACAACACCTATTGAATGTTGTGTCAATCCTGTCTGCATCTTCTGCTGTTTTCCTTTCTGGTTGTTGTTTGGTGGACCCTGCTACTGTGTAAGTGTAATGGAAGCTATTTACATGTACAAACACTCCAAAAATATTTATGTTCTGGAAGCTTTTCCATGTGTTTTCTGTTCATTCATCCATTTGTTAATCAAAGATCATGTCTGCATCATCTTGTTCTAAAAATTGAACATACTTTTGAGCTTCGGTATCTAGAACACTGAAATCTCAAATACCATGAATTTGTTGAAGTGATTTGAAGTCCCAACCACTTATTCTTTAAGTATTTTACCCCCGATATCTCGAATCCTCGGATATGTTGAAGTTTTTTCTCAGTCCCATTGAGATCGAGATAACGAGGTTTGACTGTACTTGAATGTGACATGTGATTATGATCTATTTTTACCCAGGCTCTTTAAATGTATTGTAATATGTCAGAAAAAAAAGACTTTTATTATAATGTATGATTTTGAAAAAAATTTAGGGTATTGAAAGCATCAGGAGTTATACATGTAGTATGATTTAGATATTAAGCATTTATTAGGCAATGGTCTTTTTTTCAGATTCACAGAAACATCAAATGTACTGATGAGAGTCATAGTTTCAGTGACCTTCCTGTTGTTCTTCTCACTGGGGTCAGTGTAAGGGTGAGAGTTCAGCCCCCCCACCAATATTACGCGCCAGGACCAGGTCACTACCCACCCGCCCAGCCAACCATGCCACAGGGGCCACCTGCATACACACCACCCCAAGGGTATCCAGCACAATACCAACCACACCAGCAGGCACCACCAACAGGGGGTCTTCAGAATTACCCTCCAGGAGGCCCACAGAATCATACCATGGGGGCCCCACCCCCTTATCCGGGCCACAACTAAGGAACATTATCAAAGTCATACAGAAAATGGTACCTATATGTCCAAAGCCTTTTTGGTTACATAACCATATAAATTTCATGTAATAACTGAAAATCTTGGAGAGGATGGGTTGGGTACCTACCCTTCTGACCACTCCTTCCTCTACCTTCCCAACCTGGGTCTGCTACTGAATTTTCACATATATGTGTGCTATAAATCAAAATAAATATTGGATTTTCAAACAGAACCGGTGTAATTATCAGTGATATTCTATTATTTTTGATAAAAAATCATCACAATTTTTACAATTTTGACTTTCATGTCAAAATGAAATGAGGGGCCAGACCTGGTCTTTGTTCTTTGAATATTCTATGTAATTACCAGGTAGTGCTATTGTTTGTATTTCTGTATTTGTACATGTATTTATACCCCACAAAAAGTAATGAACAGAATTTTATGAAACTTTGCAGTTAATATGGACATCCTGTATAGATGTGCATATATCCAGTAAATTCCAATTCAAATATTTTTCTTGGAGATATGCCCCCTTGGAACTTAGAAACTTGGCCAAACTTAAATAGAACAGTACTTACTGCAACAGTTTTTCAGCACAACTTTTCTTAAAATGGCTCAACGGAATTTCTGAAACTTTGTAATTGATAAGCCTAGGACATATTGTGTAGATAAGCATATTCAATTCATTTTTTTCTTGTTGATGTGTCCCTTTTGAACTATAAAGAAATTTGGCCAGCATGTACTATTTTGTGCAACTTGTTTGAAATGTTGTTTTAGCACATGCATTATATGATTTCAAATTTCTCATTTGAAAATGTTTTATTTGGTGCACCTCGGGCTATTACAAACAGATCTGATTCTGATAGGACAACTGTATGTAAAAAGGTAATTGTTGTATTTAATGCATAGCATTGCTATTCATTATGTTAACCTTGTCAAATAATTAATATTGTAGTATGAGGTTTGTGAGCTTGCTCACTTTTTCTTTCATTAACTACTGTAGAAGCACAAATTTCCGTGTGGATAAAATTTCGTTGATTTGTCATCTAAATAGGTTTCATGGGCATTAAATTTCATTGTTTTGAATGTAACCCCATTCATTATTGTAATAATAAAAAAAATTTGTGTGGGATTTAATTTCGCTGATAATTGTTACCAACGAAATAAACGAAATTTAATCCCCAAACGAACGAAATAAACGAAATTTAATCCCCAACGAATATTTCTGCTTTTACAGTATGTGTATGTATTTCATAATTCTTATCTACAGAAACCAATACTGATTAGTTAAGAATTGATATTTAAAAACCTCTTCTGTTAATCAGCTTGTACATTTACATAGAATAGGTGATGCATGTGTAAATTTGACAATACATTATTATGATACACTCAATGATATGTGTGCACATTCAGTGATGTAGTAATTAAGACAATAGAATTGGTTGGGATATCAGGCTGGAAACTTACTAAGCAATCTAAATTGTCACTTAAATTCCCCTTTACTTGAGGTTGAGACATATTTTTATTCCAGTAAGAGTTTTGTTTTTAATTTTGCTTTACTATGTACAGTATCAATGTGCCATATTGTAGACAGTATTTTTGTCACATTTACAAATCTATATTGTTTTCATTATACTGTTCATTGATATGTTGTAAATGTTATTGTAATTATATTATGTGCAGTACACCTTAAACTTTTTTAAAATTTTGTTTATTCAGCATGTCTTCTTTTAAGGGCATACGCAACATACCTTACCTACTGATAATTTTTCAAGATATTTTTAATTTAAGATTATAGTGCCATCAGATGTTCATAGACAAAAAATCAGCATGCATTACCAGGGGTTTTGAAAAGATGTTATTTGATGAAAATTCTTGTACAATTCAAAGAAAAGTATACAAAAATTACTAAACATATATTCTACATGTTTTGTTTATCCAAACTTGTTTTAGAAGAAGTGTACAACAGCATATATAGACATTAAAATGTAGAACACAGTCCCTTTAAGTATTGGAAATCTTCAACTCCAGGGAATAAGACAGTGAAGTTCAAACTACGTTGCATATGTCCTTAAGAAGGGAAATAGCACATTTTAGTACTTTTTCATGATATGTTTTATTCATTGATAAAAGAAATAATTTCAATTACAAGTCTTTTTCCAAAATCAAACATTTTTTTCCCTTAAATAAAGAAACATTTACAAATTGAAATACTATCAAGCTCATGATAGTTGACATACATGTAATAGAGACCCTTTCCACAGATAACTTTTAGGAAGATTTTTCTCTTGGTTGAACATGAAATGTTTAGGTTAATTGCTATTTTGTTATGACATATTTTTTTTTGTTTAAACAATGCTTTATAAGAATGGTGGTGCCTTATTAAACACATATATGTACATGTATCTAGTTACAGTACAAGGATGCACTATAAGCCAGAGGATCTACTACTGTATACAGAGTTATTTTTGCCCCCTTGTTATATTCACCCTTTGACACTTGAAGACAATTTTGCTCTGTTTTGAAGTTGCCCAGACTCGGTTCTGTATAAGTAATATTGCTGTTTTCTTTGAATTTGCCTCATTTTAAATTTGTCCACTTTCAATGAGGGCAAAAGGGGTGAAAATTTCCCTGTATACAGTATTTACATTTACAATGATGGTTGTAAATAAAAGCTAGTATATAAATGCTCTTGCAGGTTAATAAAATGTTTAAACAGTTTGTCTATGTCCTGAAATAATTTTATCTTGAGGTTTGTATGAAGGCTGAATTAGCCATAGCTAACTGCTTTCCATGTTAAAAATGTCTGATGACTTTTTTTTGGGGGGGGGGGGGGGTCAAGAATGTCTTAAGTTGTGCCACTTGAAATGATATTGCTTTCTACAGGCCTGTAGAGTATTTGTACAAGGTGTTCGTCAGAACTGTGCTTTTTGGCAACTTTGTATTGGTATATTACATGTAGTACTCATGTGGAATTAAAGCAACGCATTGAAGCTTGACCTGGTCCACAGATCAGATTGATTCTCAAGATTCAAACTGAAATTAAACATTTCATTTTGTGGATTGATTATGGCTCAGAAGGGGGGGGGGGGGGTTACCATCAAAGCAAGTAATTCTTCTATATAGAAATAGGTGTAAAGAAATGTATGGTACAAACAAATTAAGAACAAGTTAAAAATTATTTGCCATTCCATTGATTCCTCAAAATTTGCAATTTCATCGAAACGTTGTCTTTTTCAATTTGCGATTCAATTAAATTGTCTTTACTGAGAGTAAAGATTTACGAAAGCCCATTGAGCTCATTTTCGTAGGTTAAAAAATATTTTTCGCGTTATAACGCGAAACTTTCGCGAATAAACGCGTAACTTTCGCGTAATAACCCGAAACTTTCGCGAATAAACGCATTATAACGCGAAACTTACGCGAATAAACGCGAAACTTTCGCGTTATAACGCGAAATTATACATATATAGTCATGTTACTCAGGAATCTGTGATCTTGACTGACAGATAAAAAACAGAGAACGCAGAGGGGGACTTCTATGGATTTATAAATGACATTTCTTCAGAAGATGTAAAAGAGAATTGATGCGAGAAATGGATAGATTAGTGTTGATTTTGCATTTAATCTCAAAACTCTACTCATTAATTAAATGAATATTCCTTTAAAGATTTTCTTGTTTGTTGAATCGAAGAAATTCTTTAGACTGATTTTTATTTCTCAGGAAGATCTCCACTCGTTGCTTTCTTTGAATAAATTGTCAATGTTTTCGTAAGTAATGGTTATGACCAAGTGGCGCAACCTTAAAATACGATGTTGTATTTCTACAGTGAGTCTATCGGAGATGAATCATTTGATACGAATATTTGTCATCCAATTTTCACATTAGGTTACTCATGAATGTGATGTGACACAATTGTTCCGTAAAATATACAAATTTACCTCATTGTTGTCAATTTTCTGAGATCTTTTATTTCAAATTCTATAGAGAGTGTTAAAAATGACGCTGGAAGGAGGGATCATTTTCCCGAAAGTTTCACTGTGGAAAAACTCGCATAGACTTTGAAAATGTTTGAACAGCGTTGAGAAAGACAAAATGTGACGGCAAAAAAGATATAGAAAGAGGAGAGAAACATTCAATGGCGAGAAAACATAAAATTTCAGCTTGTGATAATCCAAGTTCAAAATAGTCTTTCGTTTTTCATTGTAATGAATAAACTAGATCATTAAAAAGTAAAACAAACTGGAGACTTATAACGCGAAAGTTTTGTGTTTATTCGCGAAAGTTTTGCGTTTATTTGCGAAATATTCGCGTTATAACGCGAAAAATATATTTTTTTACATATGAAAATGAGCTCAATGGGCTTTCGATTGAAGTATGCTCCGATAAATTTAGCAGAGAGGCCGAGTCTGCGATATTCAGGCACACGCACTGTAGTATTGTTTAGGAAATGGGGGACCAGAAAAAAATTGACAACTTACCTGAAAAAAAATTTGACAAGCACAAAAGACGGCGTGGGTGTCCAAACTCTGAAATCCTATTTCTGGGGGTGGGGGTGAGTGGGTGTTAGGTTCCAACTTTTTTTCACAGGCAGATTTTATTCATATATAACGTATATTATCACATTACATGATTTAATTATACCGCAACAAAAAGCGGGGGGACCAGCCTTTCAAATAACATTTTCAACCGTAAAAAGTTATACTTGGAAAAAATGGGGGCCGGGCCACCCTATAACTCCAGACCCCTGGCTCCCTCTGATACTACGTGCCTGATATTTATTGCAAGTACAGATGTGTGCCAAAAGTGAAGATAATTTTATTTTTTCCTCTATATATTTCATTGAAAACATTTTGTAAAATCACTGGAATAACAACATTTCTTGACAGATTTTACCACAAATTTCTCGATAATCCAAGAAATTGTTATATTTGATAAAAACGATCATAGTTTTTATCTGATCAGCATCGATATGTTAAAAAATGTAATTTAAGTGCGACATGATAATTTAAGTCATATACGCACAATGAATTATATTGTCAACATTGATCTTGAATTTTTTAACTGATGTAAAAGATGAATTATCTTTTTCTAAAAACTAAATAATTATGTAATGATCTTTTAGAAAAAGATATAACTACACATTTTCTGGTTTAAGTACTGAAATAAATAATGAAATTGGACAAAAACTGACCATTTGCCGGCGATTTAACTATATGTGGTTTTCAATAAAATGTATAGAGAAAAAACAAAATTATATCTTCACTTTTGGCACAGATCTGTACTTGTATTTGTATAGTGCGTATGACTCACCCATGTATACATATTTTTTGTAACTAGACAAGTTGCAGATCTGTAGCTTGCTGGTCTGAAAAATTGGGATGGACGACCTGTCGATATATTTTTTTTCAGAGAGCTGTAGTACTGCATTTAATGTCAACCAGCTTTTACTAAATCACAGCACTGCACGCAGGTTGTCAATCTGTAATTTGATTTTAGGAGATCATTATTATAAAGCTTTTTAAAGTTGCGCAGAAGAGAACATTGACATTTTTGTCTCCTTAAATTGTATGTATCATTACGATTTCGCCCAAACATTTACATGTACTAAAAAAGAAAGAAAGAAAAGACAGAGGCACAGGGAAAATCAAAGAAAATGTAATAAACAGAAAATTCAATGTTTTGTAGTTGGATGTGGCATTTATTTCACGATTGGGACAGTATTTCCTCTATACATTTATTGACTCCATTAGAGGTCAACGTGTGTTTTGTCGGACCCATAAACCTTGAGCTGTTTGCCTGAGGCCGTTTGGCCGAAGGTGAACAGTTTAGATCGAGGGGTCGGCAAAACACGTTTTACTGCCCGAGAACACATGCAGTCAAAAAATGTTTTGTTTCATATATCTTTTACTTTTGAGGGTTTGGGGGATATCACAGTGTTAGTGCTGGCTTCCATCAGGGACCTATATATACTTAGTATATAGGTCCCTGCTTCCATGATGTTAATTTCGGTTATCTAACGTACGTGTTTCAGTTTTTTAGTTATATTTTAACACCCGTACTGTTAAATTTACCATTATAACTAAAACCAGGGACGTGGCATCGGTTTTGATAGTGGGGGGGGGGGGGGGCAGCCAGAGAAATAATTTCAACTTACCTAAAGAAAACTTGACAAGCCAAAAAAAAAAAAAAAAAAAAAAAAAAAAAAAAAGGAAAATTGTCCGAACTCAAAAATCCTATTTCTTAGGGGGTGGGGGGTAGGTAGGTTCCAACTTCTTTCAGTACCAAATTTTATCCATACACTACTACAAAACCCTTATTTTACTATTCTACAACAAAAAGTTGGGGGGGGGCAACCGGCCTTTCAATTAACATTTCAAATAGTAAAGAAGTCTTTGGAAAAAGTGGGGGGACAGGACCCCTCCCCCCCTCCGTTGCTTCGTGCCTGAAAACACTGACATTCATAAATACTACAATGTACTTTTTAAAGATCCTTTCTATTGTAAAACCATTTTTCTTCATGTCGTTAAATTCCACCATTTTTTAAAAACTAAAATTTTTGTTTTAAGAGCTCATTTTTTTTATTAATGCATTCAGTCGTGTTTGAAGTGACATCGTTGAATCTCCAGGCGTGGATCCAGGGATTTTTTCCAGGGGGGTATTCCATCCCAGTCAAAAAATTCCATTCCAGACAAGCAAACAAAAAAAGATACAAAACAAAACAAAAAAAAAAAATAAAAGTAAAATCCATTTCCCAGACATGAAAAACACTTAATTCGTGGTAGTGATGATGGGGTCCACGTTTTCTGGGGGGGGGGGGGAGACATTTTTTTATTTGCTTCAGTGTATACTTTTAATAACCCCGAAATTCCGGGGGGGGGGGGTCCGGAACTACCCCCCCCCCCCCAGATCCGCGCATGAATCTCTGCAGTTAGTAGCATATCATCATCTCAATCTGCATACATCAAAAGAAAAAAAAAAAGAAATTCATTGCAATTCAACATGTGCACATTTTTTTAAATACATCTCACGGTTAGGGAAGGTCATACCACTGAGCTGTTGTATCTAAAGAGGTTGGATCCTGCTTTCAAAAATCCTAAGAATTTTTCATGAAGTATATTTTTAGTATCTACACACCTAGCTTAAGCATAAAATGGGGGTCAATGCACTTCTTTTGGTGCTACGGTACATTTAATTTGACCTTTTTGAACTGAAACTGTGTCTTTAACATAAATCACTTCTTCAAAGTTTTTCCTCCAATATTTTTTGTTCCAATAAATCAGTGGGACCAAATATACCTTAATCTATCTTAAAAAGACACATTAAAAATTGTGACATAGAAAAAAGTTTCAAATTACTTCGCATTTAATCAATTTTCTATCATTTGTAAATCGGTTTATAAAAGAAAAAAAAGAATAAGAATGGAAAAAAAGAATGTGTAAAAGATGTACAGTATCTTAGCATTGAATTCATCCCCTGCATTAAAAAAGGGATCGGGTTCAACATTCTGCAAATGCATGAAAAACGGGAAGAAAAATCGAAAGTAGACTCAATTCAAAGTTCAAGGAAATTTGGCATTATTTGCAATTACCAAAGTTGATAAGTATTTAAGGGAATCCCAGACAAAGATAGGATCTACGTAGTACAATCTACATCAATGGTTAACTAAAGAATAACTTTCGTCGCATAACTACATAAGGTAAACAGTTATTTTAGAAGTGTAATAGATAATTAATAAGCCTGTCATGCACGTACATATCCGTTACCTGCATGACACAGTGTATGAATGGCACAGCATGAATCATAGATCATCTAAGGCATTTAACTTCTCACAATTTGAAAGAGAATGCATTTAAAGATTAATTCTCTGCTGTTTTCCCAGTTGCATTTTTTGATACACATTTATCCAGTGTAAGATGTCACCTTCTCTTACTCAGTCTTGGACATAGCTAAATCCAGTTATTAGCCCCTTCACGATAACTGCAGTACTACTCTTTTGCAGGGCAAATTAATAACGTTTGGCGAAGTTTTTGTTGACAGATAATTAAATGACATATATTAAACAATTGCTTTTACGTCGTATTTCACCAAAGTATATCATTAGCTCACCTGAGCTGAAAGCTCAAGTGAGCTTTTCTGATCACCCGTTGTCCGTCATCCGTCCGTCTGTCCGTCCTTCTGTAAACTTTTCACATTTTCAACTTCTTCTCAAGAACCACTTGACCAATTTTAACCAAACTTGGTACAAAGTATCCTTGGGTGAAGGGGAGTGTAAATTGTTAAAATAAAGGGCCAAATCCCCTTACAAGGGGAGATAATCAAGAAAAGACAAAAATAGGGTGGGGTCATTAAAAAATCTTCTTCTCAAGAACCACTGGGCCAAAAAAGCTGAAACTTATGTGGAAGCATCCTGGGATAGTGTAGATTCTAAATTTTTCAAATCATGACCCCCGGGGGTAGGGCGGGGCCACAATAGGGAATCCAAATTTTACATTGAAATACATAGGAAAAATCTAAAAAAAATCTTCTTCTCAAGACCCACTGGACCAGAAATAAAGAAACTTATATGGGAGCATCCTGGGGTAGTGAAGATTCTAAATTGTTCAAATCATAACCCCCGGGGGTAGGGCGGGGCCACAATAGGGAATCCAAGTTTTACATTGAAATACATAGGAAAAATCTAAAAAAAAATCTTCTTCTCAAGAACCACTGGGCCAGAAATACTGAAACTTATATGGAAGCATCCATTGTTCAAATCATGACCCCCGGGGGTAGGGCGGGACACAATAGGGAATCCAAGTTTTACATTGAAATATATAAGAAAAATCTTTAAAAATCTTCTTCTCAAGAACAACTTGGCCAGAAAAACTGAAACTTATATGGAAGCATCCTGAGGTAGTGTAGATTCTAAATTGTTCAAATCATGACCCCCGGGGGTATATTAAAAGGGGGGAAATCTGGTAAAGAACAGCATGGCCAAAGCTACTCAGGTGAGTGATGTGGCCCATGGGCCTCTTGTTTTGCCCTGCAAAAGTGCAGGACCGCAGTTACCATGAAACGGTCTATTGTCTAAATATTAATTTTCCACGTTTGTAAACAAATGCCTAAAGAAAAAATCCTGATTTTCCATTTACATTAGTGATTGATCTGTTATTGAACCATTTCTAATAACAAGAATTAAAAGCATGACAATTTGAGAAGGGCAGGCAGGAATGAGAATCTAAAAATTCATGTTTAAGGTCAGGGGACACATTCCTCAATAATATATATTTTTTTCTAAAGAATTTCTCATTAAAATATTACTACTTTAACAAGTTTATCATATATACTCGCCTATAAGTCGGTTTTTCTGGAGTTAAACTTTGGTCCAAAAATCTTTGTCCGACTTATAGACGAGTTATAAAAAGATTGGTATTTTAGCGGGTCAATCCCTCTAATATAAGCTTAAAAAATAGAAACCGACTTATAGGCGTACCGACTTATAGGCGAGTGTATACGGTACTCACAAAAAAATGAGGTACCTTTCCAGACATTTGTGCAAGATATGAGAGGATGATGTTTCCTATATCATGTACAATGTGGCGGTCAGACGGGTTCGATCACTGATGGCCAGATAGCTTAGTTGGTAGAGCACCTGACTGGAAATTCAGGGGGCCTGAGTTTGAATCCTGGTCTGGTCTGTCACATTTTTCTCTTCTTCTCTTAAAATATTATCTTATTAGAAATCACTTACTGCCATATCATAATTTTTGGAGTATTTCTGTTTTAAGACATTTTGAAAACGGTTTAGAAATCACAAGATGGACTGGTGATAATTATTAATATATTTTATAGCTATTTAAAGAAATACAAAACAGATATTTGAGGAACATGTCATCTGATCTTAATGTCATGTATATGTGGCCTTATTTGAGTATTTTAATTTTTTGAATTGACTATACATTTTCAGTGAAAATTTTGAGTACATCACCAAAAACTGTTGAGTAACAGATATTTTCATTTTACTGTAAATGCACATGATCTATGAAACTGCACAAAAGTCATAAAAATAACTTGTTTAGTTACTGCATGGTTATAGTTTGCCCCTGAATACTACAGTTAATAATGCTAGAATTATTTTAAAACAAATACTGTACAGTATTTTTTTGTTTATTTAGGATTACTTTTACCATGTTTACAAATATAGACAAATTGTGTTCCAAAAGAAATGAAGATTGACTGGTGAGCTGAGTTGTGAATATTTATTTCTATACATGGGATGCATTCAAAACAATTCACTGGATGACCGAGGGAAGGTAACTTTTACTAGGTCATTCTGTTAGATGATGTTTGGAAAATATTTTCCAAATAAAACAAATATGGATGAAACAGACTCCAATGACCTTAAAAAAGGAAACGGGGATGCACCATGGCTAAACAAAAAAGTTGGAAATGCACCAAGAAGAAGTAGGAAATTGGACATTGCTGATGAAGATTTCGATGACCATGAAAATCAAGAAAGTTATCTTCAAAGACAAATTCGAATGATTTCCAATAATCGATCAGGACAAGTTAATGAAAAAGGAGATACAGTGAAAGGTAGTTCCACCGAAGAAAGAAATTCAGGACTACAAAGAAAACCAAGTTATCAGTTGATGCCAGATGATGATTTTGATGACATGATACTTAAAGACAGTATTGGATTTCCACATGAAAACAGTATGAAGACAACAAGGAAACAGCCAAGAAATGTTGAAGAGGTTTCGGTGGAGTTATCAAGTATGACATTGGAGGACAGTATTGGTTTTCATCAATGTAGAGAAGTTACACAAAAAAGAAGTTTTGAATCTCATGATGAAGCAGCAGAAGAAATTAAACAGCTCATTAAGAATCAGACAATTTCTTCCTCAGAAGGACAGAGATTGTTACAGGATCTTCAGAGTCGCCAAGGAAACAAAGGTTTTATGAATAGAAATTTTAAAGACTCGCAAGGTAGAAATAATAATTCCCGACGAAGAAGGAGTTTTCATTTAAGTAGTGACGAGGACGAGGCTGAGGAGATAAGAGAGCTAGTCAAAAACGAGACACTTTCTGCCACTGAGGGTAGGCAGAGACTTCAGGATCTTCAAGCTCAAAGGTTTCCAAATCGTGGTTCCTCAAAATCAAACCAGTCATCCAAAGGCATACCCTGTGCTTTCGATGCTGATGGACTTCCACAGAACTGGAGCAGGGAATCTCCCTTGTCTCATTCCATGTTTAGACTGATTCCCTTGTGTGTGGGTAATGAAGAGTGTGACCAGATATACAGGGAGATGGAGTGGGCAGGTCTAGATGTGGTGCAGGTCGAGAGGTTACAGAATCTGGATTCCTTAGAAAAGTTCAAGGCGGAGATGAAGCACATGGCAAGGAGGAGGAATTCAGGTACATTTACATTATAAAAGTGCAAGCTTTTGTTTGATTTATATGAATGACATTATATGTATTAAATTGTAGTTTCCTGTTCAGATATATATGTGATGTATCCAAGGTGGAATCAGGAAATAGGAAAATTTGAAATTTTCAATCAACAAATTAGGTGTATTATTTTAATGTCAAGTATATGTAGATTTGCAATTTGAAGATAATTAAAAATTAGTATAAGAGAAAGTTAGATTTTTTGCTTATTGCACATATGTTGTGGTACTACAGTTTATTCAGTATTGAAGAATGCAAAACATTCCTTATGACTAGATTCATATAGTTATTTTCTTCCTACAACTATCATTTTTTAATTATCATTAAAGCCTTTCCTACTGATCAGATATTATACATGGCCTGTTCTTTTTTTTCTCAGATGATGATTTAAATGTTCGTTACCTGTATCATGGCACGTCTGTGGACAAAACTTGTATATGTGAGGAAGGACTGGATCAGAGACTCAGTAGAATGGGTTACTTTGGTAAAGGAATCTACTTCAGGTAGGACTTAATAGAATGGGTTACTTTGGTAAACGCTGGTATGTTAAGGCTACACCCAGATACCCTACAGGCCTGTACAATATGACGTCACAGTAACCTGCATGACGTGAACTTTAGAGCTAAGTATTTATGGCAGGGGTTAAATACCAAACCCATGACGTCATAACTATTGATCAAATATTTGCCGAGTGAGACATAACGTGACAAGAATTCATGTAAACAAATATATGAAATGGGAGTTTTAAAGCATATACCGTGAATGTCCTGTGTGATTCATAAGGAATAAAAGATTAACAATCAGGTACGCTAATTTAATCTTATCATGTTTTCTTAAATTGAACACAGGCAGTGCTTTGAAATCCCGATCAGCCTTTCCTCTGTCGTTCTCTAACAACAAAAATGCAAAAGTTCAACACTTCGACGCATATTTTGAAACATAATTTTTGTTTGTATCGAAAGCTTGTATTCTATAATACTTGGAAAGTGCTGCTAGAATTGTGTGGTTAACATGAATTGATGACAAATCCTTGATCGTATGTACAAAATGTAAAAATTTTGGTAAGGTTTCATGTGAAACTTTGGAATTTTTTTTTCTGTGTTGGGAGAGTAGGATTCTAGCTGCACTTTTTGTGACACAGTGATGTTTTTACATAATTATTTTCACAAAAAGAAATGAATTATCCCCAGGGTAGTGTTGAACTTTTCACTTTTTCGTTAAGGCAAATTTTCTATTTAAAGAGGTCACGTGATGACTTCGTAATGGAATGCTTCTTTTAGCCTAGGACTCAATGACGTCTATACAATGGATAATAATAGCAAATGTTTTATCTAGGGCTTTTCCAATTTATCAATGTTAAATTTTACGAAAAAAGTCTAAATTCACCGAAAAACGATCTGGGCACTGCCTTAACATACCTGCGAAGGAATCTACTTCAGGTAGGACTTAGTAGAATGGGCTACTGTGGTAAAGGAATCTACTTCAGGTATGACTCAATAGAATAGACTACTTTGGTAAAGGAATCTACTTTAGGTGGAACTCAGTAGTATGGTCTACTTTGGTAAAGGAATCTACTTTAGGTAGGACTCAATAGAATGGGCTACTGTGATTAAGGAATCTACTTCAGGTAGGACTTAGTAGTATGGGCTACTTTGGTGAAGGAATCTACTTTAGGTAAGACTCAATAGAATGGGCTACTGTGATAAAGGAATCTACTTCAGGTAGGACTCAATAGAATAGACTACTTTGGTAAAGGAATCTACTTTAGGTAGAACTCAGTGGTATGGGCTGCTTTGGTAAAGGAATCTACTTTAGGTATAGGACTCAATAGAATGGGCTACTGTGATTAAGGAATCTACTTTAGGTAGGACTCAATAGAATGGGCTACTGTGATTAAGAAATCTACTCTAGGTAGGACTTAATAGAATGGGCTACTGTGATTAAGGAATCTACTCTGGCTACTGTGATTAAGGAATCTACTCTGGCTACTGTGATTAAGGAATCTACTCTGGCTACTGTGATTAAGGAATCTACTCTGGCTACTGTGATTAAGGAATCTACTCTGGCTACTGTGATAAAGGAATCTACTCTAGGTAGGACTCCATAGAATGGGCTACTGTGATTAAGGAATCTACTCTAGGTAGGACTTAATAGAATGGGCTACTGTGATTAAGGAATCTACTCTGGCTACTGTGATTAAGGAATCTACTCTGGCTACTGTGATAAAGGAATCTACTCTAGGTAGGACTCCATAGAATGGGCTACTGTGATTAAGGAATCTACTTTAGGTAGGACTTAATAGAATGGGCTACTGTGATTAAGGAATCTACTTCAGGTAGGACTTAATAGAATGGGCTACTGTGATTAAGGAATCTACTTTAGGTAGGACTTAATAGAATGGGCTACTGTGATTAAGGAATCTACTTCAGGTAGGACTCAATAGAATGGGCTACTGTGATTAAGGAATCTACTTCAGGTAGGACTCAATAGAATGGGCTACTGTGATAAAGGAATCTACTTCAGGTAGGACTCAATAGAATGGGCTACTGTGATTAAGGAATCTGCTTCAGGTAGGACTCAATAGAATGGGCTACTGTGGTAAATGAATCTACTTTAGGTAGAACTCAGTAGTATGGGCTACTTTGGTTAAGGAATGTACATCAGGTAGGTCTCAGTAGAATGGGCTACTTTGGTAAAGAAAACTAATTCAGGTAGGGTTTTTTATGGTTCCAAAAGTGTGCAGGAATCTTGAATTAAAATGTATGCAAAACCATTCTCTGTGACAAGAAATTTTGATGAAATTTTTGATAGGAAGAATTGTTTCTTAGGTTATTGCATCATGATTAGATAGTCAATTATATCTCTGGATCAAAAGTTCAGTCCCTGCTACAATGTTTTTCCCTTTAGTCTGCATTAAAACAGTAACTGTTATTTTACTCATTATTTAATAAAGCTTTTGATAAAATACTAAAAGGAGATTTTTTATTTTTTTCCATATTAAATTTTATTTACATATACATGTATGTCATTATAGATTTTGTATTTATTCAATGAAATAAAAAAATATTTATGGCAGGATTTATCTTTCTTAGTACAAGAAATGTTTAATCTAAAATTCATCCTTCAGAGTTGTGTTCAGACGATTAAGTGTTTAAGGCTTTTGAGTTGTCTGATGAAATGGTATATTTATTACAGTGATAATCCCCTGAAGTGCCTTAATTATGCAAGAAGTTCTGATACAAAAGGAGAGTCATACCTTCTGAAGTGTCGTGTTATACTGGGGGATCAGAAGGTCAGAATGTACATTGATGCTATATTAATGTTAAACTGGGGGATCAGAAGGTTAGAATGTATGTTAATGTTATGCTGTGGAACAGTAGCTACAAGTTTTATTTATATGAAGTGGTATAAAGACAGCCAGTTTATGGTCAAGCTTTACATATTTCAAGGGTGTCCATTATTGAATTTTAAGTTTGCTAATAACAATCTATTTTACCAACTGATGTAAAGTGTATAAATTCAGCACACAAGTTTGAAGGTGTAAGCTGTACCAAAAATGATACAGATGTATAGCACCAATTTTTAAAAAAAAAAAATTGGACTTTAATTTGGTAACCTGCATAGTAAAGGGTTACATTTATCTTTTAGTATGTATATATTTATTTGTCAGAAAGACAATAATGATTCAGGTGAGAGTTATTATAATTTTATATTATAGTTGTATTTTTTAATACAAAGAACCAATTTTTTTTTTTTTTGAATCAGTGTTATGGAAATGGAGAGTATAACACTACACTAAAGAGAGAGCCTGAAAAGGCAAATCCTAAACCCGGATCCTCAAAGTTTTATGATTCTGTCATGGTGAGCACTAGTAATTACAGTAAAACCTGTCTAATCCAGACCCCACTGGTCCCATAGAATGATAGAAATGGAGATTATGTATAGGCAACAATCTGGATTAGACAACATTCTAAACAATTGAATGTACTAAAAGGGTCAAAAAAGAATAGGCAAAATTTCAGTATACACAACATCCAGATTAGACAAGTTTTACTGTCAGTATATATTACATTATAAATATCTGAATCATTGAAGCTCTTGGCTGGAGTACTTGTACTTGTATAGTAATAATAATCACAATTTATTATATACCCAACTGTTTGTCACTCAGTTTTACTGTTGAATTTATGCAATTTATGACGGTGTGATCCGACGTTCCAGATCACCACACTGTGGTTTTCTGAATCCATATCACCCCTCTCTGAAACTGATGACGTAGTACACAGATAAATGACGTTTTTATTCTCGCGCTTCAAAAATTTCCTTGAAAAAATGGTTTGTTTAATGTATAAAAGTTATGTAATCTATCCAAAAAGTTACTTTTTATTACATTTTGCTAGTTGTAAAGGGGTATATAATAAATTTATCATTATAACAGTAACTTGATCCGAAGAGCCGTATCACGTCTCGTTGACAGGCGCGGATCATCAGATCAAACTCGACGCTTCGCGTCTCGTTTGATCTGATGATCCGCGCCTGTCAACTTGACGTGATACGGCTCTTCGGATCAAGTTACTGTTATAATAATTAATATATATGTCTTGATTATCCAGATGTTTGTCTTCATCAGACAAACTTTATGAGATAGTCAGAGCATCTTGATCAATCATCAGGACCCATAATCCTATTGTTTATGATACAAGTTAAAGATAAGTAGACAATGTAGGAACTTGTGTTTGTAAATTTCTTAATGATGGAGAACATTAACATAAATATCAGTTTTGCATTTTCTACTCTAAATCTGTATTTTATCATTATGTTGTTTTTATAATTTGTATAAAAATAAAAAGATACATGAAAGTCCAGCGTAGATTTACACTGGTTCTCACTGCATCATTTATTCTTCTACAGGGTTGTCCCAAAGACTACAATGAATATGTGATCTATGAGAACAGAAGAGCTATGATTGATTACATCATCACATTCAAGGTCAACCAGCAAGGTCAAGACACATTACGAGAGAGAATTCCTAGTCCTATATTTGACAGTCAGGGAAGAGGTAAGGTAGTGTCTCATGGAAAACCCAAAACTCCCCCCCCCCAATCCCTTCTCCAGATTTTAGACCCCAAAATAATTTCAAGGTCATCAGTTTATTCTAAGGATTCTTTTTTTTCAGAATCATTGTAAACAAAAAAATATAACTTTCTTAACTTATATGCATAATTTCATGGATGGAAGGCAATTCATTTTGATATCTTCAGAAAAAAATATGTTGGAATTTGGAAATTATCACCTTTTTACCAATCACATTTCAGATTTATATTGCTACAGTAACTGTTGATGGAGAATGAATGGAAGCTCACATATAAAGGATTTTCCATAATTTGTGTTTGTATATTTTTATCTAACAAGTTGTGTGTTTTCTATCCTCAAGCCTTGGATAAAAATCATATCAAACCACGAACCATGGGAAATTCTTTTTATCACATGTTTTACACAGCTATTGCATGTTTTACACTGTTTTATATATTAATCTACTTTATTTGAGTTTCATGCTAAAACGTTTATGACATCACAACTGTCGATATGAAAATGATATCATACATTTGTATTTAAATAATATCCACTGTATGAAGGAGTAAACAGGTGATAAATTTTGACACAATTTAAGGCATCATGATAACATTCTCACTCCATCACATTTGAAGATTGTATATAATTCATTGATTTTACACATGGGTCTTGGATTATTGTCACCAATTTCATCCTATTTCATGTATTTTATCTCCTTTAGTCACAGAATTCTTAACATCTTTGGTTGTTTTGTTGTACATTGCAGCTAATTGTATCACTTTCTACCATTACACACAGGATTGATCAAATTTATACAGTTTTTTTATCAATCATTTTATTTCCTGTTTCATACTCATATTCAGTTTTTTTGTTAATTTGTAAAATATATAATTATTTTGATTTCATGATTTTGGTGTTTATTAGGCATGTTGGATATCCAAGTAAAATTGCAATTTTTATCAAGACAAAGAGAATGAAATTACATTCCAATAAATTCTCTGCTAACATATTAATTATAAAGTGAAATTTACTGAAAATTGGTGCACCTAAATGGCTTCATTTTTATGATAGAACGTTCTATCTAAGGTAAAGTTTTCAGAGCAAGTTCATTCCCTGGTAACTTTTAAACCCTACATGGGCTTAGATAAGGCATCTAGGGATGCACACTATAAGATATGCTTTGGATGCTTGATCTGATCTACATTTTCTGGGTGAGTGACCACTTTAATATTTTATTTGGAGGAGGTCCATTAATTCCCAATATACTCTAAATCCTATTGTGACCAATAAATGGTGCATGAATGATGTATTTAGGGATGGACACCTCCTGAATCAGCTGGATCTGACTTTTATTTTCCCAATGATTGAATATCAGGTTAAAGTTTTTGGAGCAGCTTTATCCCAAGTAACTATAAGTCCTATCTGTGACCAAACCTGCATGGATGATGCATTTGATCAGATTTGTTTCAGATGCTGAATCTGACCTACATTTTCCAGATGAATGACCAGTTAACGTTTTGGGAGCATGTCCATTCCCACTTAGCTATAATCCTACCTCGGCCAAACCTCATGTATCTTGGAATGCAAATTACCATACTTGCATTTAATGCTGGATCTTCTTTTCATATTCCAGTTGAAAGACTTGGTAAAATGTTTTGGAGCAGATGTTTCCCAGTTAACAATAAGACTTAGTATACCTTATTTGCTTGGATGATGCATCTAGAGAGGCTCAACAAAAGACCTGCCTGAGATGTGATTAACAGAGTTGAAATTTTAAGAGCATCTCAATTCCTTAGCAACTAGTAACTGAAAGTCCTACTAAGACCAGACTTGCCTTGATGTAGCACACTACCAGCTCATTCATCTGGTGTGAGACATTGCTATACTCATTAATAATATTTGTCAAGTTAAGCTTTGTACTCTTTGATCACCTGTTTACTTCTGTTTTAGAGACAGGTTTTATAGGAATAAAAGCACCTGCCAATGAAGATGAACATTTTGACAGAATTAGCCAGGTTAGAGAAGCCATAAGGAGGAAGAGATGTGAGGAGAGAGGACAGGAATATTCACCTCCTAATGAGGTAGGTAGATAGATAGACAAGACTATAATTCCTGATGTTGCAGGTAAGGAGAGAGAGAGAGAGAGAGAGAGAGGTGGGTGGGTGGGTATGAGTATCTTCATCAGTAAGAATTATTTGCAAAGTAAGAGATAAACTTATTCCTGTACACCTAGTTGTCCAAATCATTTTAAGAGAAAGAGAGAGACTCATAAAGAATAAAATATATACATTCACTGAAAAACTTTTATTTACTTAATTTTTATTTCGAAACAGTTAAAAGCAGAAATCTGCAATACAGAGGTTGAAATTTGCATATGCCCAGTCTGTATCTTTTAAGTCAAAAGGAAAAGGAGGGGTTGGGGTGAGGGGGACAAAAGGAAGGGGGTGGGAGTTGTTAAGATCCCCAAATCATGTCTAAGTCAAGCATCCTCATCAAATTACCCAAGCTAGGCACCTTGGGAGTTCACAGAATGATGTACCTTGTACCTTATGGTGCAAGGTTTCTAGTAAAGGAAAAAGGGAAGGATCATCCAACTCTATAAGAGGAACATGAAGGAAGAGAGGGCAGGACTATACACCCATTTATGGGAAAGTGAGTTGAAAGTTTGGAGTACATTAATTATTCATTATTAGAGCACTGGAGAGACACATGCAGAGAAAGCAGGGTGATATATACCTTCAGATGAGGTTAAGTCACTGAGCTTATAATTAGGATAAAATGTGGAGATCACGAACAGTAACCAAGCTCAAAAGTCCATTAAAACGATACAGATTGGGAGCAGAGCAAACAAGGATCTCTAAAAGCATCTGAGATGGGATCAGGTGCCATGGAGGACTAAGCGTCTCCTGACAACGGGTCACATCTGCCACATGCTCCTTGTCATATCAAGCAAACAGAAAAATAAGTAGACAATTCAGGTCTAACAATTAGTATGAAAAATGTCAGTCAGCATTGAACTTAATGATAGATTGTATTTACTGACAAGCTCATGATTGCTTATGCTATGTGAAAATTTGGGTAGTGTATATAGGATTATTTTTCCCATTTCACTCTTGCAAATGATTTTTTCCAATTTTGAAGTTCTCCAAGCAGGCATAGTTGTTTGTAAGAGATATAACTATGTCTCTGTTGAATTCTTCCTGTTTTTAATTCAGTCCATTTTGAATTTGTCCACTAAGGATGAGAGCCAAGGAGACAAAAATAAAACGGAGACAAAAATTTCCATGTGTTCATTAGGGCCCCGCAAGGATTTGTGGGTGCCCTATAGTAATTACTCTGTCTGTCTGTCTGTCTGTCTGTCTGTCCGTCTGTCATTCTTCCGTCCACAAATTTTCTGTTTTTTTCTAATAACTTTTTTAGGGTTAACCAATTAAGTTCAAATTTGGTATGTTGGTTGAATAGGCAGTAAGACATATTTTGATGCTAAGTTTGGTTCTCTATGTCATCTGGTTTGGAGCTAGGGTGATGGGGTATATTCCTTAACTTTTTATAAGAGTGAATGGGCAAAGAGAGATAACTGCTGAGAATGTTCCTATTGTAAACTATGAAAGGCTGCAATGAGTCTCTTGGGATTAATTAACTTTCCTCTTGAAGAAAATCCAAAGCATTTATCTGTATCTGCCACAATGAGATTAATTAACACCTCTGTCTGCAAATGAAGTTTGTTTTGAAGTTAAGGTCAATTCTGAATGATGTTTACATTCTCTGAAATGTGGATTTAAATAATGTTCATACTTTATTTTAGTAAAATACACAATGAGTTATGATTTTATTGTATTCTAAAAACAAGATATAGATAAAGATATTGTTTTTATTATTATTTTCTTTTTTCTTTTTTTCTGCCTTATGTAAATTCAAGAATACTAATTATTTTAACAGGTATTCAGATAATAACCTCATTCTATCATTGCTGAAAAAGTTCTTATTGTAAACTTAGAGGAAAAGGTTGAGAGAGCAGTATAATTAATCCCATGGGTTTGATTATCTTGCTGGTTTGCAGAATGTTTTAGAGGGTTATCTTTCTGTCACTTAAAGATTAATTAACACCTTTGTCTGCAACTGATATTTGTTTTGAAGTTAAGGTCAAGCCTGGGTGATACTTGCATTCACTGAAGGCTGTCATTTTAGAAAACACATGCTTCATTCATTTTTAAATATACATTTAATTGAGTTATTATAGATATGATGTTTTTTTACTGCCTTATGTAAATACAAGGATACTATTTACAGATTGTTGGATATTTAGCAGTTGCTGTTGCTTATTCTTTATATATTTTGAAATTTTTTGGAATCAAGTAAAATTCTCATCCCCTAATCTGCACTCTTATATTTCTAACCCTCGGCGGGGCCCTTGCTGACTGGTCAGATTTCTAGTTATCTATACAGACATACAGATAATATTTATGGCCTTATTTTTCTTCATCTCTGTAACAAAATGGCTTTTCTTGAAGGAAAAGAAAATGAAGGACAAAGAAATGTGGTTAAGGTTGCAGAAATTACACAACGTGGATGAAACCACACTACCAAGTTTGGAAGAGGTTAGTTTGGGACTTTGAGTGGACCAAAGTATTGAGAAAATAGTGGCAGCATAATTTTGATATAGATCAGTGTAATTGTTTAATACCTGTAGGTAAACTTTCTGATTCTGCCAGACTCAAACAAGTGACATTGAACATTGGGTTCTTAAATTTTTAGCATTTAACTTTAGGTTTGAAAATTTGGATAACATAATAATTAAAGTAGAATAACCATGTAAAATTTTAAACTTTGGTGATATATCATATTTTTCAAACACACTGAGATGCCACAGAACAGTGTTGTTGGTAGGTGTAGATATAATCATTTAATATCAGCCAACTCTTGTGTATTGTGAGGTGTGAGACAAGAGGATATGGATGCTAAACCTGTTCTTTTATGCTATTTATAACTGCAGAAAAAAGCCAGATTGAGACATGCTGCCAGTGAGCCTCAGTTTCAGCCGGAGGATCTAGAGGGAGCGTTTACAGAGTCAGCCACAAACTCCACAATGCTTCCTCATTCTCAGAGCTTTACCTGTGGTCTGTATATTTGGAGAATTTGAATCTTTTTGACAAACATACACTTGTGTGTACTTGTTGAAATGTGTTTAGTAACTTTAAATTGGGATGGTTTGTGGCTGTTGGGTTGGGGTATGCTGATCATTTTAAAGATATTTAATGTACAAATAGAAGATTTGATAAATGATGGACCCACTGTGATGGACAATATGGGGTCAATGTTTTGCACTCAGATAAAATCTTAAAAGAACAGCAGGGTCAGTTTATATGTACTAAACATTTTCAAAAACAGGTAGTCTGCATTCAAATTTGCTCAAATCAAGACCCTTGTTTGGGGTCAATGATTTACACAAGAATCCATAAGTTAAAAAACTTGTGAAAATCTTCCAAATTTCTTTCTTAAGAGCAGAAGTTATCAATTTCTTATTTAAACTTCTGATTTAGATTTTGATTTAGGTCTAAAGATCATGGTTTGTGGAGCTAAAGTTTGGACAAAATAGGGTCGAAGTTTTACATATATATGACTATTTATTAAAAATCTTTAAAATTTTCTCTAGAAAAGCAGGTCCATAATTAATCAAAATATGAAAGCTTGTCAATTCTAATCATGGCCCTAGTCTAGGAATCAGACCAAATGTGGGCTAAGTTGTACATTGAGGTAGAAACTTCAGCAAGAACAACAGAGTTTCTGACTTCATCACAATGTAAATAAATTTGTTTAAGGTGTGAACTTGAACCTAAAGCCACAATATGCATTGAGTTCAGTTATCTACATATTCATGTTGAAAGACTAGAATCTACTCTGGTAAGCATGGTGACCTAGGACCTTTTTTATTAATTAATTAATATTCAGAAAAAAATGAAAAAAAATCTTTAACTTTTAAAAATTTTATTCTCAAGAACTACAAGATCTCAATCAGTTTAACAGTGTGTATTTACCTGGATACAGGTCTCATTGGAGTAATCTGTGCAGGATAATGGGTAAATTTGTAGTTAAGCAATTCATAAGGAAATCACAAAAATAATATTCAGGAATAAGAGTCAAAAAACAACATGTGATTGTGAAACACTGATGCCCCCCCCCCCCCCGGCAGCTTATGGCCAAGGTTAAAGTTTCTCAAATGCAAGTCAAACTCCAAGGTCAAAGATCAAAAATGTTGTTACCAAAAGAAAGGACTTGTGTCAATGGATATACCTGGTAAATATGAAAGCCCAAGCCCCAACCATTCAGAAATTATGTTCAAGGTTAATGTTTTCTAAAAGTGGGTCAAACTCCAAGGTCAAGGGCAACGGGTCAAAATTAATACTATATATAGGGGAAGACTTTGTCATAAAAAAACCCACAAAATATAAAAAAAAGCCCTAGCACCAACTGTTCAAAATTTATGGCAAAGATTAAAGTTTTTCAAAAGTAGTTCAAACTCCAAGGTCAAGGTTAAAGGGTCAAAATCGTTAGTATCCAAAGGAAGGTCTTGTCACAAGGAATATACCTGTGAAATTTGAAAGCCCTAGTGCTAACTGTTCAAAAGTTATGGTTAAAGTTTTGTAAAAGTGGATCAAACTCTAAGTTCAAAGTCAAAAGGTCAAAAATATTTGTTACACCCTTGGAAAGGTCTTTTCACGATGAATAAACGTGAAATATGAAAGACCTAGCCCCACCCCAACGTTTCAAAAGTTATTGCCAAGGTTAAAGTTGGGTAAATTTTTGCAAAAGTGAGTCAAACTCCAAGGTCAAGGTCAAGAGGCCAAATATGTTGGTTCCCAAAGGAAGGTCTTGTCACAAGGAATATACACATGTGAAAAATGAAAGTCATAGCTCTAACTAATCAAAAGTTATTGGCAAGGTTAAATATTTTTGCGGATAGAGAAACAGCTAGACAGACAGATGGACTGACAGGGCAAAAACTACATACCCCGAATTTTGGATTACGGGGGCATAAAGATGTGTATAATATTGTGATTCTATATAGGTATAGCTACATGTACCATTTTTTCAAAGACTCATTACAAGCTTCCAAAACACAAATATTGTTCTAGCCTAATTCAAAAATTTGTTCAACTTTCAACTTTACACTTTTCTTATGTAGTAAGATGACTTAACAAAAGGTCAAGCATCTTGTGTATTAAAATGATACAAACAATGATAATGAAAATTAAAGAAGGCATTTTTTGTAGGTGCTGGAGATGATGATGTAGAGAAAGTAATGACATCACTGATTGCTGAGTTTGTGGAGGTGACGAGTTGTGATAACTCGGAGACTGCTCGATATTACATTGAAAAATGTAAAATGAACATTGACCAGGCTATTGTATGTTATTATGATGACATGCCTTAGTTATCTTCAAAAGAAAAAGTGATTGTTCCAAAGCTTCCATGAAAATTAACGCTTGATTAGCCATTTTAAATTATTTATAAAGTGTCATTTTAATGACAGTTTTATCAGAGTGAACACCATATTTGAAAGGAATTTTTATAATCATCAAAGCATGGGAGAAAAGTGCTTGAAAATACCAAAAGATGCCAAGGTGATTTGATTTGTTAGAGAACAAAGGTCTGGATGCTAATTTGACACAGATACTTTCCAAGTGCTGTGTAGAAATGAGAGAAATGAAATATATTCAATAAATTGTGAGTGACAGCTACATTATGAAAAACGACTTGATGGTGTTACGAGAATCCAGAAGCCCAGAATAAATTGAAGCAGACTGAAATAAACACTTAGCTAATTGTTCTACAGACAAGAGAAGACAGGGGCCTGCCGAAATGATTTCCGATTGCTAAGAAGTGAGAAGATAAATCTAAAACTGGTTATTGCATTAAGTCCTGAATAAATGATTTTTGAGAATTAGGAAGTCAGAAGAGAAATGCGAAAGTGACAATTACAGTAAAGATATTGGAGTGCAATGCACTTGTTTAAGGAATAGTTACGTACTGCATTGCTTGACATTGAAATTGATTTAAATGCAATAAGGAAATGAGAAAAACAGAGCACATTAATTTGGTTATTCGGTCTTCAAGTTAAGTTTTTAGTATTTATAATATACGTTGAAAAACTTTATTCAATTACCAGCTTACAAAGTTTAATGTTCTCGATAAGACGTTTTAAATTTCGGCTGTTCTACCAAACTTAGCCAATGAAGCTTTATAAAATGTGTACTGTCACGTTTCCTAGATGGTGATCCAACTAATAATACATGTATGGTTGTGCACTTGTGTGTATTCCCAAAACCTGATCATAACTCTTGACAGATAAAAATAGTAAAAAAATATGTATAAAACGAATTTGTATTGTTTGCATCCCGTATGTATACGTTCTAGTATAGTGTTTTTATTAAGAGGGCCGACTGGGGTTTTCATTGCGCAATAATTTGCGCAACAGTTAAATCAAGCTTATTTAATATTTTAAAGCAACTGTTTTCACATGATTTATAAAATTTAACAAAATTAAGAAATCATTGGTTAAAAAATCTTAGTAAATTTTGAAATAACTGATTTTTTAATCGATTTTTTCAATTGATAATTATATGGACGTCGTAAAGGTGTGTTTGAGACGTTATAATAAACTGAAGTTCTCTAAGAGGGTGTCTTAAAAATGTTATAAAAGAAAAAGTATTAAACATATGCTCTTCAAATTTAAAACGTAGGTATTCGAGTATCTCAAATTTATTTTTTGTTATTTTTTGTATGAATCATTATTAGCTGTCATATTTTGTGGTACACCACAAAATTCGTTAATTTTGACATTTTGAGATGTCCCCCTTAAAAAATCAGAACGGTATCGTTTTGTTATTTCTTGCATATAATGTTTAATATAGTATTACTCATCAAATATAACTTATGCAAAAAGTCTATTGTAGAATTTTTATAATTTGCTTTGAAATGCAAAAAATTAGCTCTCTCCCTTATAACCCTAAAGGAAATGCACATGTATTTTGAGACGGTCCCTAAAAGTACCCAGACGGTAGATTTCACTGAAGTCATTGTAAGTTACATATGGTATAAAGTTAAAGCGTTTTTAGCTCTTCTGAGCCAAAGGCTCAAAGAGCTAATGCTATGGCAATTTGTGTGGCGTGCGGTGTGCGTAAACTTTTTAGATTATGGCCCATAACTCAAGAACCCCATGGCCAATTATTGTGAAATTTGTCACAGGGTATCCTTGGCCCAAGGGCTCCCTTTTATACTAAAACTAGGGTTGTGACTCTTAAACAAGGGGAGATAATTAGGAAAATAGAAACAAAAGTACTGGTTGCTAAAAAATCTTCTTCTCAAGAACCACCGGGCAGATTATCACCAAACTTACACAAAAGGATGAGGATATGTTGTAGATTAAAATTTGCACGGGGATTTACCCTGGGGCAAAGGGCGTGGTCTCAAGGTCACTTCAAAGTTGACCAAAAATTCCATTTTATTAAAATGTTGATATTTTGCTTACTATAAGGACTAGGATCATCAAATCTCGTCAGTTGATGCATCTAAGGACCTCATATCATGTTGACTCAAAAGTAGGTCACAGTGACCTACTTTTTAAATTTTGCGGCCATTCTTTTTCAGAATGATTTAGAGGCATATTTTGAACAATTTAAGGCATATGATCATCAAACTTTGTCAGTTGATATATCTTGGGTCCTCGAAGTACGTCAATTAAAAGTAGGTCACCTTGACCTACTTTTTGAACTTTATGGCTAATCTTTTTCAAAACAATTAAGGTCATTAATTCGAATACCGAGAGGTTTAGAATCATTGAATCTTGGAAGATGATGCATCTTGGGGCCATAAAACATATTTATTAAAAAGTAGGTCACAGTGACCTACTTTTTGAACTTTGCAGGCATTCGATTTCAAAGCATTTTAGAGGCATAATTTGGACACCTTAAGGCCTATGATCATAAAACTTTGTAAGTTGATGCATCTTGGGTCCTCAAAAAAGGTCAACTGAAAAGTAGGTCACCATGACCTACTTTTCAATTAATATGACTATAATTAAATATTTCAGGTACTAATTGGCTTAGAATCATCAAACTTTGTCAGTTGATGTATCTTGGGTCTTCGGAGTAGGTCGACTGAAAAGTAGGTCACCGTGACCTACTTTTGAAAATATATGGCTGTATTTAATATTTCAGGTACTAATTGGCTTAGAATCATCAAACTTTGTCAGTTGATGCATCTTGAGTCTTCAGAGTAGGTCGACTAAAAAGTAGGTCACCATGACCTACTTTTGAAAATATATGTCTTTTAATTAAATATTTTGGGTACTTGTTGGCTTAGAATCATCAAACTTTGTCAGTTGATGCATCTTGGGTACTTGGAGTACGACAAGTAAAAAGTAGGTCATCATGACCTACTTTTGAAATTTTATGGCTGTATTTAATATTTTCGGGAACTATTTGGCTTAGAATCGTCAAAATTTGTCAGTTGATGCATCATGGGTCCTCAGAGTAGGTTGACTGAAAAGTAGGTCACTGTGACCTACTTTTGAAAATTTATGGCTTTAATTAAATATTTCAGGTACTAATTGGCATAGAATCATCCAACTTTGTCAGTTGATGTATCTTAGGTCCTTGGTGTACAACAACTGAAAAGTAGGTCACTTTGACCTACTTATAAGATTTTATGGTTATAATTTTAAAAAATATTTTAGGTATTAATTGGCTTAGAATCATCAAACTTAGTTGATGGGTCCTCAGAGAATGACAAGTGATAAGTAGGTCACCATGACCAACTCTCAGGTACTAATTGGCTTCGAATCATCTTGGGTTCTCAGAGTGTGAATTGGAATTTCAAGGGTTTATCTAAATATACAGGATATTTAGAGGCTTCAAATAGAAGTGATAGGTTATACAGTTTATCAGAAGAGCGATTCAAGGCCCTTGGGCCTCTTGTTTATTATTATTTTCACACAATAAAACCCCAGTCGGCTCCCTTAAAAAGCCCCAATAAGAAGCTTTCATTTGTCTTTACCCTATTTATTCACAGTTACATTCAGAGCTATGTACATGAATATGGTATACAGAACTAGCCATAGACACAGTCAGGAGCAGAAGATATGCTCTATACTAACCATTTACCTTAAACTGTACAGACATTGAAAGATACTTGTCTGTAGGTTGATTTATAAGTGTGATATTTTATCATTATCTTTACCATGACCTTCTTAATGAAATGACATGTAAATCAAAAGTGCTATATATTTATAAGCCTGTTTTATGACAAGACGTATCATAGTGTGGCATTCATATCCGTCCGTCTGTCTGTCTCTTAGTTTTTTGTGTTTGGCTCATAATTTAAATACTATGAGTCTAGCATAATCAAACTTTCTCAGCTGATACATGTATGGCACATTAAAAGTAGGTCGCTTTGAACTTTACTTAGATGATACATGTATGTCAAAATCCTGTCTGACTAGCCATAACTTTCAAACTTAATTAAAATTTGATAATGTATAATACATGTATTTTTCATATCTCGACAACAAATTACAGTTTGTCATGTCTCACTAAGATGACACTTTTGCAGTCTAAGAAAAAAATAATGATCGGTGTTTTTGATGTTTTATCAGGCTGTAGCATTGTTGATTATTCATAAAAAATACTATTAATAAGACTTCAGATGGGCTTTTGTTAAACTCTAACACAACCAATCTGAGAAATATATTTTGTATTATTTGTTCTAATCAATATGTACCCTATTGGAGAGGCACATCAAACATTAGTATCCTAATGGAAGAATCATTAAAATCTTTGTACCAAGGGTGACACGATTTTCTTCCTTGCAGTCTTCCACGTATCCTATCATGTCATTTGTCATGGCGGTGTACTTAATTGTATCTTTTAAATCTACAAAATAGTATATTGATTTACAAATAAAAACCTCAATTGTTTCCAAGGTACGAGGGTCATTAAGAAAGTTCTTTGCCTTACTCAGAAGGAATTGGAGAAGCAAAACAGTTTCTAATAATTTTCAGTATACTCCCCCTTGACATACAATGTACACGCACTTGGTCAAACGATGCACAAGCTTTGCAATCCCACCACGTAAGAAGGAAGCCATAGACTCCTCCATAGAAAATCCCAATTATGATATCATTATTGTTTTCAAAATGGCGAACGAACAAATTGGGAGTTAAGGATACAGGTAGAAGTCAGATGGTGATAGTTCCGATGAGTAAGGGGTCTGAGGTGAGGTTAGGTAGCAATTCAAAGCGATAATTGGCTGCCTAAGCTACTGCAACCTTGGCAGAATGAATTGGCGCGTTATTTTGGTGAAAGAGCACACCTGTCCTCAGGTTTCCTCTACGTTTGAACTTGAGTGATTCTATCAAGATCAGTTGGCCTAACTCTCAAATCGAAGTGTTTCCTCTGCTAAATTAGATCTAGTTCAAAACGGTGAAACCAGGTTTTATCCTGAGTTATACAAATCTACAGTAGAAAATCTTGGGGTCTGCTTGAAATCGAGTCAGAAGTGTACAGAAAGTGTCAGTTCTTTTCATCTTTTACTCACGTGTCAGCAATCTAATTGCTCATCTTGCAGACAGCTTACTCATCCCCAAGATCCTATTTTTTAAAACTGTTGACTGAATCTAAGCTGATGTCAATATATTAGTAGTATCTGCTGGACAGACGTCTGTCACCCGAAACCATACGGTGAATTGCATCAATTTTTCACCAGTCGTTAAACTTTTTGACCGTTTAGATCAAAGTTCATCTTTTTCTGTGCAGACCCCAACCGGCTTTAATTCAGCAACCAACCTCTTCACAGTAGGATGGGGACTCCCCAGAAAGGACCCTGCAATATCTTTCTGGATTTCCTTCATTTGTCATTCCTTACTTTTGAAGGTATCTTATGACTGCTTGAGCCTCGATTTTCCCCCCTTTTTAATCTTGTCTCACACCTCTCGCCTTTGATTGGGTATCACTTGCTCTGGATCTAAAAGAAATTATAGAATGTCTCAGCAACAAAAAATTCAGCTACGGATTTTATTTCTCAGTGATGCTTGGAACATTTTGAACAACCCTCGTATACTTTTCACATGTAAGAGAGATTATTTGTATTTTTTTTTTTGTTAGTGAAATAACGATCAGTATTTTGTGAGTACAGTAAATTGTGTTCAGTTCGATAATCTGAAAGGTTTATTTATTTATATTTTTAAACTGAATGTTTAGAATATTAGATTGATGTATTTTTCTCGGTGAATGTTGTTTAACAGACATACTTGGCTTTTTTTTTCCAGCATTTGAAATCATGGTTGATTCAATAGTGTTTTAATCCTCGATTGATTTCTTTCTTCAGTTATTGCATTTTATTTTAATAATTATGTTTTTTCTAGGCCTCTGCACTGAAAAATTAGATTGTTATTCATACAAATTCAAGATAATATTGTTGATATTTATTGAAATTTAAAACAATTAACAATTATGATATAAATTAATTCACTGAGCAATAGAGCCAAACATTTTGGGAGTTCGTCGACTTCACAGATTCTGTTAAATACAGCAGAACATTTTTTATTACATTAAAATTGAGAACTTTTATTAAATTCTCCAGTTTTCCAATGAATTTAATAAGCATCTGTAGAACACTATTGACTGCATGCATGTCTTACTTGGGCAAAAAATAGAGGCTTAACTGTTGGCAGGAATGACAGATATGATTCCCGCACTCAGCTCTTTCACTCAAGGCTATTTTCTTAAATCCCCCTTTTAAGTCTGTTTTGGGCAATAGGAAATTTCTTAGGTAATACAGAATTACGTAAGAGAGTCATTGC